GGAGGCTCCGAAAGAGCAGCAGTAAAGAAGAAAAGAAGAAGAACCTCGACAACCTATAATTGCATGATCAAGTCGGAGGGATGTTTTTTTTTTCCCATTGTCATTATTTCCTACACCTGTATATTCTTTCTTTTCTTCGCTATGGACCGCGGTGGGCTGGGTTCCGGTTCCGCATCGTCACACCTTTACTTCGGGTAATATTTTTATTTCCGCGTTGCTGCGCGCCGCGTACGGGCGTCACGGCTATATGATATCGGTAGCGTGGGGTGGATTGGAGGAGGGAAACGTTTTTTTTTAACACATTGAGGCATCATTAGCATCGGGGGGTTTTAGACTCATGTATTTTTCGGCTTTTTTTGTTTTTTTTCTTGTCTTTTACCGGAGGGAGTGGGGGATTTAGATGCCGGATGGAGTTTTTTGTGTTGGTTTTTACACATGTTGGCGTCTCCATATTTTTTCACGTTGCGAGCTTTTCTATGATATAGCCGTTGGGGCTACCAGCGGGAGGCTGTGTGTAGCGTAGAGCCGAGGTCAGTAAAATGGAAATCCATCAGAACAAGATAGACGAGCGTTTTCGGGAGGCCCGCTGAGATGAGATGAGATGAGACGGGGCTGCATGGCATGATTTCGGGGGCCGCGTCATGTTGAATCTTGTTGCCGACAGGTGCATACAAGATATGCAGTGCATGTTTGCGTGGTGTTCCGGCGTAACGCTGGGGGAAGTTGATTTGGTGATGCTCTGTGATGTAGCCGGATAACGCAAGGTTGCATGCGGCGTCGGAGCGGTGGTACAACAGATGGGACGGACTTGAAGCAATAGAACCGGCACTGCGAGGGCATCAATCAATCAATTGCTCACAAGAGAGAATGAAAGAAACACTGAAGACTACAACGCAACATCTGATTACAGCGGAATATACGAAGCTGTCTCTGATCAATACATGCCACGTCTCAAACTCATCTATAATCCCCATCATCACATGAAGCTGACCAACCAACCAACACTCGGTCCAACCAAACAATTTAACAGCCGCTTCCTCTCCCAGCATCGTCCGCCCCTGCAGCCCGACCCGGACCGCCTCTGTCCCGCACCCCAAAGGTCCAGGTCCGTCCCCACGCAGCGCGAAAAGCCCCCCCCCCCTCAAGCCAAAAGCGGGAAGTTAAAGGCCAAAAAAAAAAACGAGGCTAAGCAATTTCTCTTGCTTTTCCCTTTTGCGGAGAGAGAACACATAACAAGACAAGAGACAGCTTTTTACGGGTAAGGTGTCGGGGGTGGCGAGCGGGGGCAGCAGCCGAAGTGTCTACACACAGCTACTGTACAGTAAAAAACGGGCTTGTTCAGCTTGGCGGGCTTTTCGGGGGAGGGAGGAGAAACAGGCGCCAACAACATAAGGCTACACGGTCCGAAGGGGGGGTCCTTTTTCTCGGAGTATTCTAGTGTGTGGGGGAGAAGTGAAGAGGAACGAGGAGAGAGGAGAGGAAGAAGGGGAACAGGGGGCATTGATGGCCGACCGAAAGCCGTTCCGTAAGTCGGGACGGCGGGCTGGACTTTTTTTTTTTCTGGGGAAATGGGGGCCGGAGCCTTTTTCTTTTTTGTCTTGGTATATTTATAAAAAGGTGAGGGTGGTGTGTGTCTGTGTGTTTCTTGGTGATTGGGTTTCGTGTGACTTGTGATTTTTCGGGGGGATTTTCTTTGGAAATTCTGTCTCTCATGAAACTCTTTTTTTCATCTTTTAATTTATTTTTTACCAAGAGACATTGCATCATCCCTTGGGAACAAGTGAAACATCGAAACAAATTCTGAATGGCGACTTGAATCGAAATCCTTCTTCTTCTTCCCTTTTTTTTTCTCTCTCTTTTTGATACCTTTGTGTTTTTCTTTTCTTCTTTTCTTTTTCGGCTTCGTCATATAGCGGAATTCAGCGTGTGTCGTCACGAAGCTTCTCCCCCTCACAGCCTTCATCCAACCAACTTTTATCGAGAACACACACACACACACACAAAATGTCCATATACACGCGAGCTTGCGCAGGCCGGACGAGAGCCGCGGTGCGCGTGGCGGGTGCCGCGCGGAGAGCCATGAGCACGGCGGCGGCGGCGGCGGCGAGGACGACGGTTGACGAGGGCTTCGTGCCGCGGGGCTGGCAGCAGAGGATATTGGGCACGGAGGGGCTCAGCATACGGACGGGACCGACGGAGGTGAGTCTTTGATGGGCGTGATGGGCGGTGGTTGAGGGGGGGAATATCAAACGAACGACGTTGAATCTTGCATCTTTCTCTCTCTTACACGCGCGCTTATATCCTCACTCTCACTCTCACATCACCACTTATACATGACCAACAACAACAACAACAAAGCAAAACATGAATATGACATGACTAACATGATAAACGCAACAGCCCGCCCTCTTCACAGGCACCATCCCCGACCACTTCGCCTCCGTCGTCTCCCGCCACGGCGACCGGCCCGCCGTCATCGCCCGCTCGCCAACCCCCCTCGCCGTCGAGACCACCCTCACCTACCACGCCCTCGACCTCGTCTCCAACCGCCTCGCCTGGTCCCTCTCCTCCATCGGCGTCCGCAAGGGTGACCGCGTCGCCGTCTCGCTCGGCAACAGCGCAGAGTTCGCCGCGCTGACGTACGCCCTGTTCAAGCTCGGCGCCGTCCTCGTCCCGCTCAACCCTACCTTCAACGCCCAGCAGGTGAGCGCCGCGCTGAGTCACCTCAAGGCCGAGGTCCTCATCATCGGCGCCGTCACGGACCTCGCGTATCGTCCGGGGAGGGGACGCAGCAACAAGCGGCTGCTGGAGACGGTCGTGGGCGACTTGCACCGCAGCAGGATCCAGAGCGAGGCCGTCCCCAGCTTGAAGCGTGTCGTCGTGCTGGATAACCGCGCCAGCCATGCCGACGTCGACTTTCCGCTGGACCGGTTCGCCGCGTTGAGCTCGTATGAGGCTCTGCTCGAGGGCTCTGACCGCGCCGTCAAGCCGGACGCGCCCCTGGATCCCGCAGACACCATCAACATCCAGTTCACGTCCGGCACGACGTCGGCCCCGAAGGCGGCGCAGCTCTCGCACACGGCCATCCTCAACAACGGCGCCTTCATCGCGGACCGCATGGGCCTCACGCCGGCGGACCGCATGGTCGTGCCGCCGCCGCTGTTCCACTGCTTCGGCTCCGTGCTCGGCTACATGGCCACGGCCACGACCGGCGCCGCCATCCTGTTCCCGTCGCCGGCCTTCGACCCCGTGGCCACGGTACGCATGGCCGCCGACACCGACGCCACCGGCTTATACGGCGTCAGCACCATGCTCGTCTCCATCTTCGAGGCCCTCGACGCCGGCGGCCTGCCCGTGCCGCAGCGCCTGCAAAAGGGCATCGTCGCCGGCAGCAGCGTGCCCGAGTCCCTCATGCGCACCATCTACAGGCGCCTCGGCCTGCAGGACCTGGTCATCTGCTACGGCATGACGGAGACGGCGCCCGTCAGCTGCATGACGCGGCCCTCGGACCCCTTTGAGCAGCGCACCTCGTCCGTCGGCACGCCCATGCCGCACACCACCGTCAAGATTGTCGACCCCCTCGACCGCAGCCGCGTCCTTCCCCTCGGCCAGCGCGGCGAGCTGGCCGCCTCGGGCTACCTCGTCATGAAGGGCTACTTTGGCGACGCGGAGCGCACCGCCCAGGTCCGGCGCACCGAACCCGACGGCCGCACGTGGATGTACTCGGGCGACGAGGCCGAGATGGACGCCGCCGGCTTCGTCCAAATCACCGGCCGCATCAAGGACCTCATCATCCGCGGCGGCGAGAACATCCACCCGCTCGAGGTCGAAAACTGCCTCTTCCAGCTCCCCGGCGTGCAAGAGGTCTCCGTCGCCGGCGTCCCCGACGAGCGCCTGGGCGAGGCCGTCGCCGCCTTTGTCATCCCGCGCCACGGCTGGGAGACGGGCGACGCACGGCGCGACGGCGACGAGGCATCGCGGCGGCTGTCCAAGGACCGCGTGCGCGAGTGGGTGCGGACGAACCTGTCGAGCCACCTGGTGCCCAAGCACGTCTTCTGGGTGGATGATTATCCCAAGACGGCGAGCGGCAAGATTCAGAAGTTTAAGCTGCAGGAGATGGCCAACAAGATGTTGGCCGACGAGGCATCAACGAAAGAAGGAAACAGTAAAAAGAAATAATAAAAAAAGACAACTTACGAAGCATACTAATCATGTGAATATGGCATTTGTTCATTCATGTATTTATTGATTTATTGATATTTTCTTTCCGGCTTTTCGGTTTTTTTTTTTTTGCATTAGCAAGGGGAAGGGAGCTCAGGCTCAGGGGGGCGAGTGGGAAGATCATCGAGCACAGGTTACATGTAGTCTATCATACTACCGTTTTCTATTGTTTTTACCTCTCGAGGTCTGAATATGAATGAATATACATACATATGACCATATCCTCGCAATCACAAACTCCAACGTGACAATTCTAACATCATTCATCACAAACTCCAACGTGACAACTCAACATCATCACTCATCACACTGCACCAAAAATAGAAGAAAAAAACATGTATCCCGCAAAATATATCGTCATAATCACTAACCCACGCGAAATCAACTCTCTATCGAGTCTATAGAATTCCACTTCGTCAAGTCAGTTTGTCGTAGCACATGGTATCAAAGGCTTCTAGCATCGTCCCGTCTGTCCGCCTGTCCCGTCTCGCTCTGCCTGAGCTCCCGGTGGTCAACACAGCCCTGCCCGTTGAAAACATCCCATATCCCAAACAGGTTTTCACGTCAAAGGTTGAAAATAAAGAGAAAGAAAAAGGAAGAGAAAAAGAAAAGAGGCAAACCCCCCTTTCCCCTAAAAAGGGTGGGGGGGACGGTCAAGGGGGGCAGCAGCCTCAAAAACTCCTCAACGCCGTCGTCCCAAGAAGGAAAAAAAAAATAACATCTCTCTCTGTCCTGCCCATCATCCCTCCTTTTTCCCTGGCCAGTTGTTCGTCTTTTTTTCATTCCACTTGTTTCTCGCAGCCAATACGGCCAAGGAGCTCCTTGCGGTCGCTGTGTCCCGGTAGGCTGACTCCGCTGGCGGAAGCCTGCTTCTTAAGCCCGTTTCGTCGCTCCCAGCTCTTGAGGTCCAGCTCCTCCACTCCAACCTCCTGCTCCAATGGGTGAACCTCCTCGTAGATGAGCTCCTCCTCGTCCTCCTCTTCGTCAGCCTCGTCGTCGCTCCGAGTATCTTCCGCACCACCTCCGCTAAGCACCTTGAGGGCAACGCGGACAATCATGGTGAACCAGAAAATCGTAATGCCCTGCAGCAGGAGGAGGGGCGTGAGGAAAGCCCACTTGACCGTCTTGTTGTAGCACACACGCCCTGTCGAGTTGAAGAAGGGCTCAATCAGATACGTGAAGCCGGCGGGGGCTTCCAATGGTCCAACCAGGGAGTCGTTTGGTCCAACGAAGCATCCGTTGGGCATGATTTCTAGGGTGTGCGCGTAAATGGACCAGCAGACCATGATGTAGAAGACGTGGCGTGCCACAAACCATGACACCATGAAGAGGGCAAAGACGTAGTCGCACAGCGTGGTGTAGCCGCAGTACTTGAGACACTTGGCCACCTAGATCATTTGTTGGGGTCAGCCATCACATCAAGAATCCCGAAAGCCTACAACCGAGGGCGGTCAGAAGAAAACGAGAGAGAGAAAAAGCCTTACAGGGAGGAACAGATCCACCACGTCCATGATGACCAAGATGAACATTCCAACGCGGGTGTGGTGGTAGCAGTAGCACGACGAAATCAGCGCCGTGGTGATGATGTGGTGGCTAAACATTTGCCAGTGGTCCTTTCGTCGATCCTCAATGTTGATGACAATAATCTGTTGCAGCCAAAACGCCCATTGAGCAATCATGTACCACTTCATGAGGCCACCCATCTCCCGGTTCGGCCAGTCGGTCCACAGCTCCCTCATGTTGAGCCAGGCGGGAGAGTTGTAGTACAGATACTAAGTAACGGCCAGTCAGTGAATTTGCGTCCTCTGCTTGGGACATGAATGTGTTTCAGAAGCACATACCACGCCCGTCGGCCAAAAGACGAGATAGTAGACCAGCAGCCAGGCCTGCTCCGTGAATCGGGTCAAGTCCTTCTTCTTGTTGATTTCGAAGAGTCGGCCAAACGGCGCCAGGATGTAGTCCATGGTGCCGGCTCGGAGGCCTGTGAAGAGGACAATGAAGAAGGCAATCAAACAGACATCGTCAAATCCGGCAGCATATTTGCCCGTCCTTGCGTTGTAGTACGAGAGATGGAAGAACTTGGTCGTGTGTACTCTGGCCTTGGGAATGCAGGCATGGGCCAGGAAGAGAAGAGCGAGCAGGTTGAGTGACAAGCCTAGGTAGTCGCGGCAAAGATTAGCAAGGTTTCACGCTGTGGCTGCTTAAAAAGAAGAAGCATAACTATCGCATTTATGCCAATGTTGCGACAGATGCCATGTTTCTACCGACGAGGGGACGTAACAACTTCAAATGGAAAGCAGCAAAAACAACGTACCAACCTGGTTCTCGACGAACCAGCGAGCGAGGGGCTTCCAGAGCCCTTCGTCCTTGCGCTTCAGGCGACGGACCAGCACGACGTTGCTGCCAGAGGTTTGCATGTACCGTGGCCCGCTGGTGGCCGGTCGAGAGCTCTTGGAGGAGCCGGCGACAGTCTTTTCGTCCGCCACGAAGCCGTGCGAGTCGCCCATGGTTGTCGAGAGCTGTTTGAGCAAAGCAGCGGTCGTGAACGAAACGAGGCACTTCGACTCGGTTTTTTTGGTAAAAAAAGGGATGAGACTTTGCGGAGGTGGTTAGCACAAAGACAAGAACGAGACAAGAACAAGCAATAATAGAATAGTATGAGTGGGTGGTGGGATGTCTCACTATCGCCGATGATTGGACCACTTGCTTTCGACCTCTTTTTTTTTTTCCAGGTTCCCGTCTTTTTTTCCCTCTTGCCCACGGCGTGCGGAGTGGCGCCCCCCAAGCTGCAGATTACAGCAGACTAGCTCCCCGAGGAAGAAGAGCTGCCGAGGAGGAGATGAAAAAGCGCTCTGCCAAGCTTCCGGGTCAATTGCTTGCAGATGGAGAGCTGTTCCACTTTGGAGGTTGGAGGGGAAGAGGGATTGGGAGCGTTTAAAGGGCGTATCGAGGCTGGTACACGCAAACTGCGTGGGGACGGGGCGGGACAAGGACAAGGGGAAAATGGACTGGACATGAGAAGAAAATGAAAAAGAAAAAACCTGGAAGAGCAAGCGAGGGATCAGCAGCAAGATGGACGCACTGCTTCAGCATGCGACTCAGTTGCATTGGGTGCTAAGCCTCGTACGGGGGGGCACAGGTACGGCACTGTACAGTGCAGTGCAGCGCAGCCGGTCGCCGCGGGCACACGGCCGGGAGAGAAGCTGTTGTGTGTGTGTCTTTGATTGATCCAATGGATGTTTACCTATTAATAGCTGGCATTACTCAGTTGCAAGCTGTGTGTGCTTGGTCGGTACCATGTATGCTTGGTATTACATATTGAGTGCTACATGTACTCAACTGCTCTGTGGGATTCCCACCTCACTCACTCACACAAGGCGAGCATGGACGGGCGAGTGCCTTTAGATAGACAGACTGACTGACCGACAAAACAGCCAAGCGGCAGCAGCGGCTTGTCAGGTGTCTGTCTGAGTACATGTAGGTACTCGTACAGCCTGCGTCTTGCAAAAGGTGAGCAGTCAACTGTACCTAGGAGGTAGGAAACTCGGCTGCCTCCCCCCGCGCACATCAAACAGAGATGGCTGGGATCAATTGCTCTGAGCCCTGGCCCGAGCTTTTCAACTTTTTGTCTCAAGCCCCGGCTCGAGTGACGTTTCAACGCTCTGCTCGTCCCACTCACTCACTATTGATTGATAGCTGGAGAACTCCCATAATATCCAATGACACAGCACTGGAGAGGGGGTTTAAGAATAGGCACTTGTCCTTGTTCTTTTGTACATTGTATGGATCATCTTGAATCAATTCATCCATGACGACTTGCAAGCGGTGAGAAGGAAGAGGCACGCACATGTACGAGCCGTGGATTGCTACAATACAGTGTGCATTCGCCCGCATTGGGCTCAACTAACCGTGCTAGCACCAATTGAACCCACTGCGGCGCACTTGCGCTACTACAGTCCCCGCTAGCGGCCTAGCAGCCACTGCTAAGGATTTGATGTGCTGAGGCGCTCGCTTGGGCCCCTGGCCTCAACAAATTGATTAGGTAGTTCGTGACGGAATGAATCTTGGGGGAAGCATTGAGTCCCAATCTCCTCAACTTTGCTAAACTACATGCACATGTACATGTAGATGCAGGGAGCAGTGGCTCCGCAGCTCCCCGCCTGTGCGACCTGCTTGGACTTGTGCTCAACTTGAACTATCATTGCCACCCATTCGTTTAACAAAAGACACCGAGGTGTTACTGCAGCTTTTTCCGTCCGAACAGCAACATGGTGTGCGCCACGATGGACAGCAACACACGTGGGCCGAGCAATAGGCTGTAGGATCTGGACTAAAGGCCAACCCTTGCTTGTTTCTTGGCCCATCCCATCCTACCCAGAGCCAGAGCATGCCAAAAGAGCAGCGCAGGTTTCGAGTCGGGGATGGATTTAGCGGCCACCTACCTGTCCAGGCAAGCTGAGCAGTGAATGGAGGTGTCGTACTCTCCAAAGTGAGGATAACGTCAGCTGTCATGGCGCTGCTGAAGCTGAAGCTGGGCATGGACATGTACAGGTATGCAGCAATTTTTCTCTTCTCTTGTAGTTGTAACGAGTATACTCGTTCAAGAAATATTGGGCCAAGAACAGTAACTGTCCTCTGGCCATTTGCAAGTAGAGTGCCATCCTCGCGATCCTCTTCACTTCCCCTCAATACAGTAACCGATTCAAGACTCTGCAGCCTATAACAATTCCGCAAAGGTCTTGTGATCGTATTCATAGCAATGGTCTCATACAAGTCTTTCTAACCAATAGTGCACCCAAAGATGCAAGCAAACAAACACAATTGGCATCTCAGTCGATAGTGTTGGACGAAGAATCTAATCTCAGATCGAGTGGGGGCGGGAGATTCAAGGCGTGGCGTCATGAGCAATTGGTGGACCCTCGACAGAGGCAGCAACCAAGCTTGTTTTGCCATGTTGTATAATTCTCATCAAGAGAGATGACGAGAGTTGATCTTGCCTAGGTAAAGTCAGCTATATGCAGGCCGCCAGTAGCAAGGAACAGCAGACGTAATAAGACGCAACATAGCAAAAGAAAAAAAACCCCCCCAACATGCATGTCGACAGTAACAGCAGTTGCTCGTCAAAGAGACATTTTACGCTCACCAGCTGATCGATTTTTCTCAGTCAACCCCAGCCGCAGGCAGACAGGGATCCCAGCCAAGGCCAATCACGGGGGCGCTTGTCACAACACCCTCTACAGCCGTCCCGTCGCTTGCCGGTTCTAGGCCTGGCTGTCTCTGAACCGTCAAGACAGAAATGGCCTCTTGTGCCTGTTGAAAAGAACGAGACTCTTTCCCAGTTGTGGGGGAGGAAATTCGAGCTGTAACCTCTTCCAATACGCCCTGGCCACTGTAGCAAGAACACCGCGGAGCCTAACTCTCAAAGAGATCAGATATTACTGACAGTCTCTTGCTCGGTGCCTCACTTATTCTCGTGCCTGATACAAATGCTAGTCAAGGTACTAAGCCAAGAGGCGGGGAACAAGCACATTCAATATTTGCACAACCCAGATGGATATGGATACAAAATCATCTAAAAGCTCCAGCTCCCTTGCTGCAAGTTTAGCGCTGCCGGACCGGTGCTGCTCCGTAAAATGCTCCATCCTGTAGTCCCGTCTTGCATGCTCGCGCCAAACAGGGCTCATCTGTTATTGCTCTGTGTTGCTGCTTGTGCCTGTAATTGTACTATTTTGAACGGTGGCAATAAGTGGCTTTTGGAGAAACCACAGCTTCTAGAGCTCTTCCTAGTACTCTTTAAGCTGCCATAACCAAGCCGGAGCTCTCGTTCGGGACCCTGTGCACAGCCACTCTCGCAATTCACCGTAATAGGCACCACTCGAGCTGGCCCCGCTCACCAGCCACGCCGCCCCCTCCTGACCCAGTAATTTATCGTCTACATCATCCTTTCCGCCACAGCGATCGCCTTTGTCCCTTTGATCTTTACGCTTCCCTTCCACCTCAAGCCCATCCGCAAATCCAACCACCACAACAACCCCGTCTCACTTCCCATCGCGACAGAGAAGAAATAAGAGAGAGACTGCGCGAAAAGGAAAACCAATCATGGCGTCCACCGCAAAATACCAGCCGGCTCCCCAGCAGGAACCCGACGACGACTACACGCAAGCTCCGCCCGCCTATGGCACCTCGGCGGCGGCGTCGTCGTCGCGCAACGATCCCGGCTTGTTCGCAGAGCCGCGCAGCAGCGACGACAACATTCCCGACGACTTCAAGGTAAGCTCTGGATGGAGCCTCCTCGTGCGCTCCTTTTGATACTCAAAATCTGGCGTCTGTACCTTCGTTAAATGGCCCCCCTGCTGACGTCACTTTACAACAGTTTGGAGGCTCCGTCGCCGAAGCCACGGTCGATATTCGCAACCAGTTCGTCCGCAAGGTCTACAGCATCCTCACCGTTCAGCTCATCGCCACCGCGGCCTTGAGCTCCATCAGCTTCTTCAGCAATGGATACAAGGCGTGGATCCAGAGCCATCCCGGTCTTGTCTGGGCATCTGTATGTCACCACCCATCTTTGTCCGCGAGAACTTGCTAGCTAACAGCATCTCTCCAGCTCTTCGGCGCCATGATCTTCATGGGTCTCACCTACTGGAAGCGCAAATCATACCCGACCAACCTTCTCTTCCTCTCCCTCTTCACCCTCACCGAAGCCTACTCCATCTCCGTCATCGTCTCTTTCTACCAGACCTCCATCGTCCTCAACGCCACCATCCTCACCGCGGGCATCTTCGTCTTCCTCACAGTCTTCGCCTGCCAGTCCAAGTACGACTTCACCTCATGGATGCCCTACCTCTTCGGCGCTCTGTGGGGCCTCGTCCTCTTCGGATTCATGGCCATGTTCCTTCCGTATAGCTCTACCGGCGAGCTCATCTACGGAGGCCTCGCCGCCCTCATCTTCAGCGGCTACATCCTCGTCGACACCCAGATGATCATGCGCCACCACCATGTTGAGGAGGAGATTGCCGCCGCAATCAGCCTCTACCTCGACATCATCAACCTTTTCCTCGCCATCCTGCGCATCCTCAACAGCCAGTCTAACAACTAAATGGCCAACGAGAATGAGTCGCACCGGTTGATACAGCCAACCGCCGTGGCACTACTTGTTCTTCGTACAGGGGCTTCAAGATTGTCATCATGGGCTCTGCCCTTTTATTTTTATTTTCCTTCTTCTTCTTCTTTCGCACTTTTGTAGGATAATGGGATAAAGCGGGTGGGACGCGGATAGGGCAGTTTGCTTTGGTTTTTCCTTGTTGCTTTTTCTTGCTATTTTTTCCCCCATTGTATCACTTGCATGGATTCCTTATTTCTCAATGCTCGTCTCCTTTGTGTTGAAACGCCAACGTACCAAAACAAAGGAAGAAAATAAAATTAGCTTGTCATAAAAAGAGATGGCCAATCCGCCTCATATCCTCTCTCGTGTCAAAGTCCGTCAAGGTTGTGAATGTATTTGATATCTGCATTAGAAGTCCACTACAGTAGCTAGAAAAAATAATAAGGACAGTTTAAAAAAACAGGGAGACCATTTGACAACAGATGGCTACTCTTGCGGCTAAAAAACAAGATATTATTATGCTGAGTAGCCGCATTGCTTTCCCACCTTTGCCGATCCGAGGCTTTCTCTCTTCGTCGGGGTATACGTCGTTTTGGTCCAACGGCATTCCCACCCTCTCCATGTATTCCACCATGAGGACTCCCTCCCCTTCGCCAGCCTCCACCGTTCCATCTCCGCACCAACAACCCCTGCGTCACTTCCGCGAGTTGTCGTAGGTTGCAATAAAATAAGTAAAGAAAAAACAGGGAGAAAATCAAACTCGATTCTGTAACGGCCGGGGGAATTGTTCTGATCTTCAGTGTAGGAGAGGTAAAACCCAACGCCGGCAGCGATAAATAGACCAACGTCGCAATTTACTTTTATAATGCCGAAGAAAGCCCTAGTAGTGATTTGAGATGATTTACTCCTCGCCGCCGTTGTTGCTGGTGTCCAGGGCGGGGGATGCCTGGGTCGTCTCGCGCTGCATGCGAGCCTCTATCTCGCGGAGCTGAGACTCGCGCGCCAGCAGCTCCTGTCGCTTCTCGTTGATCTCGCGCTGGACCTTGAGCTCGATCTCGCGGAGCTTCTCCTCCTCTCGTCGGAGCTGTTCCTCCTTGAGGCGGACAGACTGAGAAGCCAGGTCCTCGGGGTTCATGGAGGCATCGAGACTTTACACACAAATTAGTTGACTGTCATAACAAAGCAGGATCAAGTAGTATACTTACCCAGAGGCACCACCATCCACACTCTTAGACAGCTTCTCGGTACGGTAGTTCTCATACAAGAAATCGTGGGTGATTTCTTTCAGGTCAGCCAGGTGGCTGTGGAGGAGGGCTGATCGGATAGCCAAGAAGTCTGAGTGGCGAGGGTTCTCGACCTCGACAACACCCCACGGGTACTGGCGAGCGCGGACCTTGCGGCCACTAATCTCAACCACATCCTCCGAGCCAACAATGGCAAAGGGCATGAGTCCTCTGAGTTCTGCGTTTTCTTCGACGGTGTCCTCGTCGTCTTCCTCAATGTCGTAGGGGAAGTTATAAACGGGGATTCTATAGTGCTCAATGTCCTCCATGACCAGCTTCTTTGACTCGGCAAGCTCCTGGGGGGTCAGGGTGTCGGCTCGGCCAATAACGGGGATGACGTTGACACGGGGTGCAAGGCGCTTCATCAGTTCGATATCGAGCTCTCGGAGGCTTGTGGAGACGCGTCAGTACCAAAGGAGTAGCTCCATGGGCAGGAGAAGAAGGCTTACCCGTGACCGGTAGGGGTGATGAAGTAAAGCATGGCGTGGACACGGTTGTCCCTGAAGCGAGGGTTACGCTTGATACGAGACTCTTCGGCCAGGATATCGTCATATTGTCTCTCGAGGTAGCCGACGATTTCTGAGAAGCTATACGCGGCAGTTTAGCATGCGACAGGGCACAGACGAAGGAGCAGTCAATGCGGGGCTAACCTGGCCTCGTTGTCAATCTGGTCGCCAAATCCGGGGGTGTCGACAATGGTCAGCGAGATTCGGGTGCCTTCCTCGTCGAGTTCAAGCTCTAATCAGGTGGTGAGTGGATGTCAAAAGACGGATTGGGGCGTTTGCGGCTCGCCATCACGTACCAACGGTAAGGGGCTTGATCTTGACGCCCTCCTCAATGTGCGCGTTGGTAGCATCGTCGGCTTCCTTGTGCTCGAGGACAGACTTGCCGCAGAGGGTGTTGACAAAGGTGGTCCGGCCTGCAGCGACAATTGTGAGTATCAAGTTTTTATTTGGTTTGGAATTGCAGCGCAGTTGGAGAGGGCAGCGGCATACCAGTTCCCGAAGCACCACACACCATCAGGCAGAACTGAATGCCTTTCTTGACATTCTTCTTTCGGCGGATAACCTTCTGCACAGTCCAGAACAGTTAGTTTTTTTTGTCTCGCGTTTCAAACATGACAGGGCGTGGCTAGGCTTAGGGGCCAGAAAATCAAGAGGGAAATGGCATGTTTTTTAGGGAGTCGTGCATCATCGTCGTCGAATTGACACGTCCCAGAGAAGTGCGGGAAACGGATACGGAGGGGGCACGTACGGAGGACATCATGGAAGGCGACTGGTATGAGGATTAGCCCTAAAGACGGCGGTTCGAGGGTGCGTGAGCGAGAGCGAGAGCGAGGAGACGAGGAGACAGAGTTCGGCCAAGACGAAGCTCTTGATGGAGGAGAGAAGAAATCAAATTGGTCGCGGTGATAAGAGGCCAGGAGAAGTTCGGGTGCTAAAGGAGAAGATGAAGTACGGAGTAGGTAGGCGTCGTACTGGCAATTTGCTTCTTTCAGGGGCCACCAGCGCCAGCCTAGGCCTAGAAGAGCCAGACCGCCCCTGCCCCGGCTGTAGCTCCCCCTAAGTGAACCTGGTGCTACTCGACGGAGCTAAGCTAAATCATGCAATCCCAAAACGCCTGGTACCTGCAACGGATCAATTGTTTGCTGCAGTGTCCGTGCGCGCATCTCAATGGCAGAGGTACTGCGACTGGAGATGGATTTCCACCGGAAATTCGTCGGCAAACACAAGCATGGTGCCGCATGTACCCAAGGTTATTTTCGTTTGACCCTCCAGTCCAGCCAGTGAAGCAGAGCAGAGCAGCGCAGCAATACGAGCGTTGGTGGCACCTCGTGAAAACGTGATGGACGCTCCATACAGGTAGCTTTGAAGCCCTCGAATGTGGCCGAGAATGTGAACGAGGCTGACTTCTGGGGGAAATGATATTCAAATTTAATCCGTAATAAGAGAAGAAGCTACCCCTCACTTTGACGTTTGTTTTCTGCCAATGTAGGCATACGAGTATAAACGTGAACCCAAGATTCTGCCTTGTTACAAGTCCTACATGATGATACCCCAGATCCCCTGTCCAGTGGTGCAAAAACGTCCTCTGCCATTGTCCAATCTGACGTGCTGCACTTTGTTCTGACGACGTGTACTTTTCTTGAGCCTCGTATTACAGTTACCTACAGCACGGTACCCAACCATGATTCCAGGAAGATGCCAGATAGAGGTGATGTCGATGGCCAATAGTGCTCCATCACACTACAGTGAGGGAGTGTAGACGGTACTCAATGTTGACTCTATAGTAGTTCTTCAAACACTCGCTCCCATCACCGTCTTCTCTTACCTACTAGGTAGTAGTCTTACTGCCTTATCATTATTCACTATCTACCATTGTACAACACGGGATGCTGCATTGCCAACTTGGGTGCATGTACATGGCAAACTCCCCCATTATGTACCTGAATCATGACATCCTGCTATCTAAATGCATATTCACCATGCTCGCGCATGCTGACGGCAGATGCCAGACGGCAGGATATCAAGGTACATGAGATGTAGAGTAGAGTATTAGTAGAGACTCCAATGACTGCAAGGTGCAGCAGAGTGCATCGCATCTCGGCTTCAGTTGCCCTCGCCTCTGATTCTCCCAGCAACGTTGATAGGGGCAACGGCAACTCAGTTATAGCGCTGTCCCGCTACAAGGCAGCGGCCCCACGGCAAGCTTGAGACGCCAGATGCTGGGTCGCCTCCGCATTAAAGCGCCGGTTTAAAGCAACCACACCCTGTATCATCCATTCCACTCCCTGTCCACCACAGTTGGCAGTGCCCAAACACGGTATTTGACACATTGCAGCCTTTTTGGATCAAATCATCAACTATCGGCGTGCTGTTAAATGCAGCTCAACGGCTCAGGGCTCAAGACACCGCGTCCTTCTTGTTACATATTAATTCACCCCCTTGCTCTCTTTTGTTTTGCTGGTCCAGAAACCCCATGATCACTGCGCCAAAACGGGATAGCTGGCGGGACCCAGTCGCAGCCCACAGATTACCGAGCATCGCCATCAACTTCTAGACATCGATAGTTCGCGGCTCTCATCGCAAACGCCTTTTATTCCCAGGCCAGACACTGGACGCCGCTTCTTTCCTTTCAGTCTTGGTGATACTGGAACTCATCCAGGTGCCTCGTTTCGTCTTGTTGGTTCCATCTCTGCTTTCCTACTAGGCTCGGTGTGAAGCCGCCTCGCCGCCATGAATGTACGGCCACCTATAGAGTCGTCGTCTCCCACGGCGGTCCTGTCCGTGGCGTTCAACAAAGACTCGAGCTGCTTTTCCGTGGGCTTGGAATCAGGGATATGTGGTAGGTATCCCGCGAGAGATTGCTCGACCAAGCTCTTGACGGCTGGCTAATAACGAGGGTGCTCATGATAGTCTTTCATACTAAGTCATGTCTGCTCAAGGCATCAAGAGGTTGGTTCTTCATTTCTCAAGTCGAGATATGCCAGCAACGGACATGGTAGCTGACAGCTGATAAGACTTTAACGGTGGCATCGGCCTTGTTCGAATGATGGGCACAACAAATTACCTCGCCCTAGCTGGCGGCGGAAAATCACCCAAGTTCGCCATCAACAAGGTACCATCATTTATTTACCCTGGACCGATGATGGACAAATCATTGATTCGTATACATCTAGGCTATCATATGGGACGACATGAAGGGCAAAGTTGCTTTGGAAATCTCAGCCCTCACTCCCATTCGCGGCATGCAGCTAAGTAGAGATCGAATCGTCGTGGTGCTCCAGAACAGCGTCCGCGTCTACTCGTTCTCCAAGCCTCCCGAGCTGCTTCATGTGTACGAGACGGCCGACAATTTGCTCGGCCTATGCTGTCTCTCAGACAAGAAGCTTGCGTTCCCGGGCCGCACAACGGGACAGATCCAGATCGTCGAGATTGCCACTGGTAATGTCAGTATCATCCCGGCTCACTCGTCCGCCCTCAAGGCCATCCAGTTAAGCACCGATGGCGAACTTCTGGCAAGTGCTAGCGAAACGGGAACACTTATTCGCGTTTATGCTACTAGCAGCTGTGCCAGATTAGCAGAGCTCCGCAGAGGCATTGATCCGGCCACCATCTATTCCCTCGCCTTCTCGCCATCTGGATCACTGCTGGCCTGTACCTCTGACAAGTCTACGCTGCACATCTTCGACGTGCCTAACCCTAAGCGGCCGAATGCTCATCGTAGTCCACAGCCTGGTAATGCTGCTCAAGAGGCAGATGCTGGCAAATGGGGCATCCTCAGCAAAATCCCCCTTATGCCACGAGTCTTTTCCGATGTCTATTCCTTTGCTTCTGCACCCTTTGAGGCTGGAAACGAGTCCATGATTGGCGGCATCTCGTTCTCTGAGGGCACCGTCCTTGGTACAACAAGACCACCCAAAGGCGTTATTGGATGGATCAGCGAGGACAGCCTTGCCGTTATTGGCGCAGGCCAGGACGCAAGGTGGGAGAAGTTTACACTAGTTGATGGTGAGGACGGAAAGCGTCACTGCGTTCGTGAGGGCTGGAAGCGATATCTGGGAAACTCGTCATGAGGGATAACAAAGGGACTATACAGGGAAGATGATTCATTTCAGATGCAGCGAGGGCTTTTTGGGCGTTTCTTGGGTGGTTAATGCTGTTTAAACGAAGACGTGGGAATAATTCTATTTGGGTATTCATAGCTTGTCGGACCTAGTACTAATTCTGACGACGCCGAGGAGATCGGCTTCTACTCTTGCGCTGCGGCCTTCTCCTACTATCGTCGTCGTCGTCTTGTTCTCTCCGCCTCCTGTGTCTCTCGCGGTCATCGTCCCTTCTATGGGACCTCCTGTCGTCGTGTTCAGGTTTCTTCTCCCGCCGTCTTTCCCGTTCCCGTTCCCGTGAGCCCCCTCGGGGCGAGTCTCTGTGCCTCCTGTGACGCTCTCTGGAATCGTCTCGATGTCGGTATCGCCTTGACTCGCCATCTGACGGTCGCTTTTCTTTCTCTCCCGAGGCTTCATCCCGCCGCGATCTTTCGCGCCGACCATCATCTTCCTTATCTCGTCTTGACTTGTGATGTCTGTGATGCCTATGACTGTCCGACTTCTCTTTCCTGTCAGCTCTTCGCCGAGCCTCCTCCACCTCTTTCTTCTTCTCGTCAATCAAAAATCCCTTCATGGGATCATCGTCGTCATGGTCCCTCATTAGAAGAGCCAGCTCTCTCTCCTCGGGCAGCATCGGTCTCTGGATCTCTTCCGGGATGCTCTCGTCGTCGGACACGGCCTTGCCTTCCCTACGCTGGATGTCCTCCCAGCCGATTTTGAATTCATCTTGGTCTTCGTCGTCTCGTGCTTGGTATCGGGCGTGGTCGACCCGTAGTAATCTTCCGCCCACCTCGGTGCCGCCTAGGTTGTCCACTGCGAGGTCGGTGCTCCTTTGGTCTTCGTATTTCAGCCAGCCGAAGCCCTTTGATTTGCCCGTCTCCTTGTCGCGCACGAGTTTTAGAAAGACTGGCTCGCCGAATTGGGAGAAGATTGTGATGATGTCTCCTTCTGAGAGTTCGTATGGGAGGCCACCAAAGTAGACGAAAGCGGTGTCACGGTAGTCGACATGCCAGGACGCGTCTGGTGAACTTGCGGCAGGTCAGCCCGCCGGCTCAAAGATTGTTAAAGCATCAATGCAGTATGACTTACATTCCGTTTTCGATTTCTTTTTTATTTAGCGCTTGGATGGCGCGGATCTGGTTCATGTTGCTCTGTTCGGATGGCGGATCTTGCTGAGGAGCCGAGTCTGTGCTGTCTTGTCGAGATGCGAACCTTGAAAGATGATGCAAGGCTGAGCAGCTGCTTCAATTATTCGTACAAGGCTGTATGCGCACTGAGCTCCGGTGCAGTTGTAGTGACCAGTTACCCACTAAACGAGCTCCCACAGCACTGGACCGTAGCGCTGCGCTGCCTGGTTCTGGTTCGTCTCTCCCAGCCGACGATTACCCAGCCCGACCCCAATGCAGTGACCCTTGTTCCAATCGGGTTGATGAAGGAAATGCTTCTGCTGTAGCTATCTCGCCTCCAAGGCCTATGGCTTCCCAATCCTAATCCTCAGACCAGAGCTTGACGACACCCGCGGCGATTCCCCCGCAGGCGCAGCGCCTCTTCCCGCCACGTCGCATCGTTGTTGGCATCTTTGACCAAGATGCTCCGCCATCCCTAGGACCTTGCAACATCCCACCTTGATACAGCTACGACTCGAAGCGCGCAGCGTTTCCCCCCTATAAGAACCCGGCGACCTCACCTCATCAACGCGTGCGTTTCGGACGATTACAGCCTTATTTGCAAGGGCATATCTGGTTTTTAGCGACGCTGCCACCTCGGAGGTGCGGAGACGGCGACCATGGCAAACAGGATATCACAGTATACCATGACATCAAGGGACGGCGACAGTCAGAATGGCGAGCCCAAGAGGAACTTGTGGACTTCAATGCTAGAGTCAGTGGCCAGCGGCAAGAGATTACCGGAAAAGAACCTTTTGGTCTTGGGTATGGAGGCATCCTCGTGGCTGGAACATTTCCACCTTGTCGGCGGGATTCACTGACCGTTTCCCCTTCAGGAGGCACTCCGGAATCGCAACGGGAGTTTCTGGACTCGCTGTCAGGATCCGAACCGAGGCGCAACTTTGACCGGCAAAAGATTCCCCCGATTGCGAACAACTACGCCCTGGGCTATACTTATTATGATGTTCTCGACGCGGATCAAGATGGTTAGCAACCCCTCGAAGCGTTGGAGCTGCGGTATTGGCATTGGTGACTGATTGGTACAAATAGACACACTTGCTCGAGTTTCCCTCTATCTCCTTTCCCAGCCCTCGGGCGAGTTTTCGTCGCTCATCGCTCCCTTGCTTACGCCCGAGACGATACCAAACACTGCACTGGTAATACTGTTGGACTGGTCGCACCCGCATTTGTGGCTGCGTCAGATCTGGACATGGCTGCAGGTGTTCCAGGAAGTCCTAGAGCACATAAGCAGAGATGTGCAAACAGAGATGGAGGAGGTCATGAACAATTGGAAAGAGAGGGGAAGGGGAGGCTCGTCGGTCAACCTGGACGGCACTCCATCCGCCACCGTCGCCAATGGCGATAGCAATGGTTCATTACCGCTTGGGCCGGGCGAATGGACTGAGCCTCTTGGGCTGCCGTTGTGTGTTGTGTGTCAAAACGTGAGTTTGATTCCATCATCTGTTTTGCGCTCTCACGATTTCCTGACATATTTGTAGTCGCAAAAGATCGACTTTTTAGAGAAGAGCAAAGGGTGGAAAGAACCGGACTTTGACGGAGTGCTACAGAATTTGCGAACAGTCCTGCTGAGACGTAAGACCATTAACCTTTCTCTATTGAACATGATCTTGCGGCTGCTAATCATTGCTTAGACGGCGCTTCACTCATATACACATCACAAAGCGCCGCATCTCAACTCCCCATTCTTATACACTCAACTCTCGGCATCACTTCTCTTTTGAAACGCCAACCCCTGAAACACAACGTCATCGACCGAGATAAGATTGTCGTCCCCCCGAACTGGGATTCTTGGGGCAAGATTAGAGTTCTGGGCGGCTCGTTCGACACGGAAAAGGTGTCGCAGTACTGGTCCGAGGACATCAAGATTCCCCTCGGCGCCCCTCCCCCAACCCTAGCCCTGCCCGACCCCGAAGACGACGACGACAACGGCTCGAACCAGCTACCTCAAGTCGAGAGCGCCATCGCGCTCTACGAAGACTGGTGCAGAGATCCGAATAGTGGAGGACTCGCCCTCGTGGAGAGCGCCATGAACGACGGCACGGAGGTGGCTGTCGAAAGTGAAGACACGCAGGACTTTCTCGAACGACAGCTCAAGATTCTGGAGGCGTACAAGTCAAAAGCGCCGGAGAAATCGACGGACAGTGCCGCCTCTAGCTCGACGAGGAGAATCGACTATGATGAAAAGACTGTCAATGAGCATATCGGTCCCGTGCAGTTCAATATGGGCGGCATTCAAGTTGACGCTGACGATATGCTGCAGCGCCTTAAGGTATGGTTCATCCTCTTTTAACAAGAAAGAATAAAGACGAAGAGAAGAACTTGTAGCTAACATCCTGCACAGGACCGCAATGCACACATCGCGGCTGACGTTCCCTCCGTCGAGCCAGAAGGCGCAGTCAGCAACATGGCCAAGGACTTTGACAATGAACAGCTACATGATTTCTTCTCGGGCCTGATGAACAGGACGGCCGGGGCCGCTGACGGAGGGCGCTGATGAGTGATGGAGGTGTTTGTTATGGGGGGTATTTTTTTGTTGGTTGATGTTGTTTCGACTGACTGGCTGAGAATTATCGTCATTCTGATTAAGCAGGCGGCAGTTAGTTTTCTATGAGCGCACATTTGGAGACGATAGGAAATGAAGTATGGCTTATGTTAGTTCCTTTTTTTTTTCATCCGGGGGGAAGGGGGCTTGGAAAAATTAATTGGTCAAAGGGAGGAATAATCCGGGGGGGAGGGTAACACTCAGGGGTGTTTGGTTGGGGGCGTGAGGAGGCATCCAATCCGCTTGTAGAATAGATACCCTTGATGAGGATGAAAGAAAGAAAAAAAGGACATGAAATCACACTTTGTCAGATCGAACGTGTTTTGTATGTAGCTAGAAGTATACATACGTACACTTTCATGAATATCTGGTGACAAGACATGAAAAGGGATAAATCTCTATATATGACGGTGGTTCCCTAAACCTCTCTCCTGTCCCTTCGAGCCAGAAAAGCAAGACCATTCAAGCTAATCCTTTCAAAACCACCGAAAAGAAGAAACAAAATGGAAAAGGCCATAAATTGAAAACTCCCCAACCCAATCCGAAAAGAATTCCATTTCCGTAACCACAACACTTTTTTAAACAAAACGAAAAAAAAGGGGGGGGGGGGGGAAGGGTTTTTACGCTTTTTGCCTCGTCGCCTTGTACCTCACATCCACGGTCCTCGCCTCCAACCCCAGCCCTAATCTCGCCACGACAACGCCTCCCAGCAGGCCCGGGAACAGCCACGGGTGCTGCAGCATCTCCGCCTCAAAGGCGTTGATGGTTTCTCGCGCGAGGCCGGTGAACTTCTCGTCTCCCAGGAGCTCGCCGAGCCGGAACAGGTTGGAGACTGAAACGCCGTTGGTGGAAGGGAGGGACGTGTCCATGCCGTCTTTGAGGCGGAGGATGGTGTGGGGAGAGGACAGGGTGGTCGAGTAGAAGGCTCCAGCGGTATCGTAGAAGAGGGCGATTTGGGATTCTTTGGAATGGAAGTTAGTGAATTGAGGATATAGAGTACCTAGTAAAAGGTGGAAATGGAACAAGAAGAAACAACTTACTCTGCAGGTTGTCGGCAAATTCAACATAGCTTTCGTCCCCTGTAGCATCAAAGAGGTCCAAAACACCATGAATTAGGTACGCATAGTCGTCCGCAAAGCCCTCAGTGTCCCGTCCCTCGCTCCATATCCGGTACAGGGCTTTGTTCTTCTCATCCCACAGCTTCTCCTTGACAAAAGATACGCACGCCTTGGCCGCGGCCATATACTTTATGCTCTTCTCCGGATTTAGCACCTTGAGAGATGTTGCCGTCCGCGCCAAAGCCGATACTACTAATCCGTTCCACCCAGCAACGATTTTATCATCCACATCTGGGTGCGGCCGCTCTCTCTCTCGCCTCTTCTTGAGAGCCTCCCTAGCGGTCTGGATGTTCTTCTTCACCGTGGCGACGGGAACATTGAACTGCTTGCTCAGCTCATCGGGCGTCTTCCTGATCCTCAAAATGTTTTGGTTAATAAAGTCATCGTTCGGGTCGTGATCTTCGTCCACGTTTCCATCTTCCTGCACGTCCCAATAGGCCTCAACCATGGGACTAATATGGCTATCATCAGCACCGACTACAGAAGCAAACTCGCGCCGCGTCCACAGATAGTATGCGCCCTCCCTCTTGTCACCATCTCCTCGTTTCGCGTACGAGTCGGCAGCCTCGGATGAGGCAAAGCCACCGGTTGGAAGCGCAATGGGCGGGGATGTTAGATAGTCGGCAAGCTCAACGACGACATCGTAAAATTCGCTGTCCTCCCCCCCACCACTCTTTTTCCACGCCTCCAGGTACAACTGGAGAAGTGATGCATTATCGACGACCATCTTTTCAAAGTTGGGAATGCTCCAATCGGGTGTCACGGAGCACCGGGCAAATCCAGTGGCCCCAATGTGGTCATGAAGCGCCCCATCACGGATCTTGCGCAGAGTATCTAGAGCCATGTCCAGCGCATGTTTACACTCGGCATCTCCAACGACATCCTGCACCGGAGAGGGGAAGTTGACCAGGTTCAGCAAAAAGGCCAGCTTGGGGGGCGTCAGGAACTTCGGAGCCAGCCCAAACCCCCCGTATACTGGATCAAAGGTTCCCGCAATGTGCGTATAGGCCTCTTCGAGTTGATCGAGATCCAGCTCGCTGGACACGGCCGTGCTGTCGGTCGCTTTGGCAGCGGGTTGGTTGGGCACTGGAGCACCCCATCCAGCGGGAGCTATCGGCTGTGGAGCCGTAATGCTTCGTTTCCCAAGAGTGCCCTCGGCCGCAAATTCACGCAGTTGACCAATGACCTCGGTTGCCTCTTTACGGCATCTGGCCTGCTGATCCTTCCAGATGTTGCGCACCTTTTTCAGAATAACTAAAAAGTCCAGGGGCTCATCGCCGTGGTCCTCGGCGGCCCTCCTTGCCACGCTGGGGCCGGGCCAATACGTGCCCCCAAAGACGGGCTCCAGTTCAGGAGTGAGGAAGAGGTTGAGGGGCCAGCCTCCAGAGTTGCTCACGGCCTGGACGTAGTTCATGTAGATGGTGTCGATATCAGGGCGTACTTCGCGGTCAACGATGATGGGAACAAAGGAGTGGTTCAGGACGGCAGCGCAATCGGAATTCGAAAAGGACTCGAGGGCCATGAGGCGAGAGACTGGGACAGAGTCAGCGGAATCCAACGGGCCACAAAGACGAACTCACAGTGGCAGGCCCTGTATCCAATGTGCAGGAAGATGAGCTTGTTCTCCCTCCTCGCCCTCTCGACGGCCTCGTTGCCCAGCAGTTGCCAGGCCACGAGACTGTCTGCATAGGCCTCGACAAACGGCGACTTGCCATCCTTTGCGCGGTTCTGGAGGGGCAGCAGCTGGGCTTCTATGCTGCTGCTGCTGCTGTCGCCCCTGTCCGATGGTGGCGAGGACTTCATGGCAACGGCAGACGCCGTCAGCTCGGAGACGACCATGGCGAAGTCAAGTCGAGATTCTTGTTGTTTGATGGATCCGTCAGCTCCCCCGCCAAACACTAGAAGCTGCTTATTGTTTCGTCACCAGCCGAGGAAGAAGAGCGGCGGCGGCGTTGATATTCTATGCCAGAGTATTAGTTGGTATTTTTGACGTTGCGGCTCTCGACGCTTCACATGCATGAGAGAAGCAGGCGGCCGTACCTTGGCAGATAAGGCGTTGCGTCTTATCGCGCGTTAATCGGAAAAGACTGGAGGACTCGCAAATGTTCGGGAATCGGGAGGCGACGGTGTAACCAAAAAGCTGAAGTGCAGTGCAATGGATGCTGTGGGCAATGACGGAACAATAGCAATAGGTGGCTGCTGTAGCTTAGGCCGGTCGCTAAAACTGATGGAATAGAAAAGAGCTGGGCGAATGAACCCCGCCGAGGGGCTGACAAGTTTGGATGGCTTGGATACCCTAGACCGGATCCGGGAGAAGTGATGCGACGGGCGAGTTGAATGTAGATGGGATGAAACTGCACGGTTGATGCTGTTAAACTTAAGATGAAGCTGGATTGTGATGCTGTCGAGATGTGAGATTGTGGAAGCAATAGATGTGCTTTGTGGGTGCAAATTGTTGAGAAGATGATGGCGTTGACCCAAGTTGATGATGTCTCCAACAGCAAGTTGCTCTTGCCGCTTTTCTACTGTTGAAGCTTTTTTATGACAGCCGAGAGCGACGTTATCAAAGCTAAGAATATATACTTTCGCAGACTGGGATTGGATGGACCATGGGATTCTCGGTATATCGACGTTTTATTGGAGATGCCGTTTTCGGATGCGACTGCAGTAGTCCTACATGCTCGTGTCAAACGCCGTTGAACCTTGCGCCAGCTTTAGCTTACGCCAGCTGAATGTGGACTTGAGTCGTGAGGCTCTGCGCTGCCTGTTTTTGTTGTTGGTCGAATACATGTATTGTCTGTGACAGATTGTTTCGCATTTATAATGCGCACTTTGGGTGTCACAGCGTCGTTGCTTGACTGCACAAGGCGTCTCGGCGTGACTCAAAGAAGGGCATTGAAGACTGGGGTTTAATTGTTTCGATGATTGTTAATGAGTAACACCACCACCAGTTCGTCGCGCCATTACATCATCGGTGATGGCACAAGATAAGATTTAGAGGAACCACGGCATAGTAATGTATCTTGACAGCATGCATGTTCTCTGCTGGTGCATTATTGTGAGCAAAATTGAATAGTACAGATATGTTAAGTGAACAGATGGCATGCTTTATATCTGTGCTAATACGGGTATCCAGTTGTATTGATATCAATTATAGAAACCCAACACGTTTGACGATGCAGCTCCAAGTCCAAGGTTCCATTCCGAGGCACGCTCTTATCCATGGCAGCACGTCGCAGTGGCTGCAGCGCCTCCACGCGACCGGCCACAGCAAACTCGCCTCACTAGCACGACATTCAACGCCCCTGACGGCAATGGCCAGCAGGCACAGTCAGGCGTTCCTACAGCGCATGTGGGAGTGATGGAGGGGCTGCCTGGCGCTAATGCAGCCTTGACTCGGCACGCTGAGCCGCGTAACTCTTACTTTTACGGCGCCTCGGAGCTTCCAGGTCTTCTGATTCTGATTCGGAGCTCCATGTCCAGTTCATCCATGCCATGCCATGACCACGGTACAGCCACACCAAGCTTCATCTTCATCTTCCCTTCATCTTCCCATCTTATCTTTTATCATTCCGGGGCCCAACTTGCGTCCACACTCACCTGGGCGATATCGACATGGCAGAGCCGCAGTACACTGTCTTCATCAGGGTCCCCGTCCCTCGTCGGGGCTTCGTTGATCCACCTGCCGTACGTTGATGTGCCCATCCATGTCTCCCTTTATCTATCCAATAGCGCCATCCGCAGCAGTGACAACATTGACCTGCTAACATTGAACTCCCGCCTAGGTCAGTTGGGACACCGCCAAAGACGACGCTTTGTGGAAGATTCTCTCTCAGCACGGTGAAATAGACTGTATGATGCGACCCTCTGCGGAAACTGATGGACGAGAGAGCTTGAATTGCTAACCGATGCGCAGGGAACCTAGTGTATGCTGCGCCAGATGCCCTGCCGATCCTTTCCCCTGAGATGCCGACTGACCATTTACATCTCCAGAGCCGACCGATTCGAAGTCCCCGTCGAGTTTCTAGTCCAGCAGGTGGCCTACCTGAACGAACGACACCAATCGCACACTCTTGCCCAGGTTCGAAAAGCTGCCGCCGCGGCCAAGGGCTCAGCGGCGCAGTCACCCATACCTGGAGCCGATCTAGCTGGTGCAGGACATCTGAGGACGCCGTCGGCCTTGTCTATCCGTCGCGATGTGTCCATGCTACGGAATGAGAGCGGTAGCGCTGGGCCTGCCATGAATGCGCCGGCTCGTCCGGCCATGTCTCGCAACACCTCGGCGACGACGACGGTCATGAGGGATGGCGGCGGCGCTTCACCCAGGATTGGCAACAGACCCAATCCCCGAGGCGCTGGGCAATCTGGGGGGATACGACTATCATCACTGCCCACGCCGTCGCCGGTGCCGACCCCAAGATCTCCAAAGCTACCCGGGGCTGAAATCAACAGGATTGATTCACCTGGCCCGGCCGAGACGAGCTCGACAACCTCATCCGACGACGAATCGCTGCCTGTCCAGTCCCGCATCATCCGTCGACCGCCACGACCTCAACAACAAGACTCATCTCTTGGCTATCATGCGGATGAGGACGATGAGTCGGAACCTGCGTTTCAACCGTACAATGCGCCGTCTGCTGACGCATCGGCGCACGACCTGTCATCTACATTGAAGTTGAGGAACCAAGAGGGCCGCAATCAATCGAGGCGGACTACAAAGCCATTTGCAAAGGAGCTCCATCACTCGCAGACCTCTGACTCGTCAGCGAGCTCCCCTGCCGTGGTGGTGCGGCCAGGCAAGTCGCGAGAGCGCAACAGCGCAGGCCCCTCGTCTCCTCGCCGCAACACAGAGACTCGGAGCTCTCAAGAAAACAGCGAGGGCACGCCTAGCATCAGCAGCAGCTTCAGTGACTTGGACGGTATAGTTTTCTGAGATGTTAAGACATTGTACATTTCCCATGCTGACATGCTCGTCGATACAGATGCATCAGTTACACGCTCTGCCATGGAGGAAGTTCTGGCTAGTCGAATGGGTAGCACAAGTCGCTTTAGCTTTTCATTTCGACGTTGATGGGAGTTGGAACATTCCGACGTTGTTTATACCTGCTGTTTGGCTTCTTCTAAATGATTATTTTGCAAATGATTTCTAGTCTGGGCGGCGGTTTGGCGTTATATGGTTGCAAGATGGAAACTTGACGACATTCTAATGACATATATTGACAAATACAGTTTGTTTGTTCGCTCGCAGCAATGCGGCGAACTCTTTTGAGACACTAGGAATCTTTTTAATTACCTACCGAGCTCTATATACTTTCCCAAGTAGAGTAGCCAAGATACTTTTTATTCAACTTGTGTTGCTGTTGGATACCTACTTGTAATTTTACCACAATGGATCTTTACGCTGCCCTTTGAGGCATGTTTGTCCACCAGGTATTCATGTTTGTAATTGCTACTCGCACCTCTTCATTCTTCAATAGACAGAGTCCGCAAGTATTCAGTGCCAATGTTGCGGTCAGAGGTGCATCAGTAACTCAGTTGCGAGCACATGCCCTCGCTCTTATCGGCGGATGCGCGCAGCTGGCATGCGGCTATTCGCATCGAGTGCTTCAAGGGCTTCTACAGGAGTCTGAATGCTTCCGGTGCGTTTACAAGCTACATGGTGTTGGGGCAAATAAAATTCTCCATCAGCACGCCGCCTACCTCCTCCTCTTTTAAGCATCGTGGTGGCTCCCAACTTCCACATCTTGCACATCTCCATCAACAACAGAGCACCAAAGAACTTTCTTCTCTACTCCACATCAAGCAGATGGAAGAGCCAGAATCTTCTCATCGTCGTTGCCATGTTTCGTCGTCTGTGGTCCGGTCTCCCAAAGGATGCCTCTTTTCCGACCGATCTCAAAGGACTCGGGTTTGTCTCTTCACACTTTCTACTTGCACCTCTCTGAAACACAATTTTTGCTTATTTCTAACCTGCTGTCTTGAAATAGATACTTTGTCAACGATCAAGATGAAATCAGGTCCATCGAGGATCCTGATAACTACTTCAGATTCTTTATTGATAAAAACCCTCGGATTTGCGCTCGTCAGCGATTCGCATTCAACCGTGAGTAGGAATCACACATTTGACAACAAGCCTCTCCATTCCGTATATCTAACAGATAATTTACAGATGCCATGGAATCTGTAATCCACGAACGTCTAGAGAAAGAAGGCCTTCAGAAACTCCTCCTCCCTCTAGGAACATCCATCACCGAGCCTCACATGCCCATCTTTGTCACCCCAAACCTAGATACGAAACCTCGCATCGTCGTCATATTCGGTGAAGCTACGCAAGAACTAGGTCTCGTGGCCGGTCGTGTCGCCAATGGAGCTGGAGGCATCAATGAAGGAAGCATGGTCTCTGTGGTTCGTGCTCTAGCATCGCAGCGTTCGTCTCCGGATGATGCCTCTCCGCCAGGTATCGTGCTGGCAAACATGGGTGAGACGTACTTCTGGCCTCAGGGAAACCGTGCGATTACGGTTCTTGCGAGCTCGTTTCTGCCGCTGCCTAGCCTGCTGCATAAAGGCGTACGACATGTGCCGGCGCTCAACGACATTCCCGGCAATGAGGGTCCGGTGCAGCATGTCAAGTACATATTCGGCGAGGTGCTTCGCTCCATGGCAAATGACAAGGCATTGTTGGATGTTATAGCCATTGGAGATAGCTGTGAAATCGTCGAAAAGGTCTTGGATGGCCAAGAAGCCTGGGATACTTGGGGCAAGAGACTTAATTCCATGACCCTGTTGGGCCCGGTATGCGAAGCGGAGGGTTTGACAAACGCATCATTCAAAGACTTCATGGCAAAGGTTTGGCGATGAATCCTCTTCCATCAATCATAAGAATCTGTTGTCCTGCTAACATGGCACATTTAGCGAGCCCGTGGCTATCTCGTTTGTCCAGAATCCCTCGGTACTCCTCTGGCTCCCCCTGAAGGTAATTCAGAGCTTAGCATTCCGCCCCTGGGATTTCCGTGCATCTCTTCGTCCGAGCCAATGCATGCCGAGACTATTCTTATTCGAGCGCGATCTCATATCTTTGCGCATATTCAAGAAGTAGCTATGGATGTGGGCTATGAGAATCCAGCCATCACACCAGTGGATTGTCCACCACCGGCTATGACTGAGCAGCACTGGGATGATTTGCCCGAGGAGGATAAACCTGAGGTGACCAAGCTTGACCCGGCAGAGTTCAAGGCGCAGGTGAAGCAGGCTAAGCGCTGGAGAAAGTTTCAGGAGACCGGAAAGGCACCGGATACTGATTCGGAGTCGGAGTCGGAGGACTAATAGACGGGTGTTTGTTTTGCTGGGAACGTCGGCTTGGGAATTTGATGGCCCAGATAGTTTTAAAATGTGATGGGCAGACTTTGGAGCGGACATCGTCATAGAGATCAAGATCAAAGGAAATCAATTCTTTGCCGTTTCTGCTAGCTTATACTAATACATGGGATCCTGCGGCGTCCCCTATCGGACAATGCGTTTAATACAACGGGGCAAATAACCAACCAATAACTATAGCCTACTTGATACACTTATACCTTGAAAAACGACACAATGCCGGGCTTTGGCGCCTGAACATCCTCCAGCAACTCCCGCGTCCGCTTGACGCGGTCTTGAATCACCACCTCCTCAGCTTCCCAGCGGCCTTCCGTCGCTTGCGATGATCCGCTCCAGAAGGAGAACATGGATGTCTGAGATCCTGTCGCCTTCTTTTCCTTCTCCTCCTTTGCCAATCTTGATACCATGATGGACCAGTTACCCAATCCAGTAGACAGACAATTTCTGCACGTTGATTTCGTCTCGCGGGCGTCCTGGGGTAGCTTGGAATCTCGGAGTTGCTCCTCTGCCAAGTCCACTCCGTCTCTTGTCCATGCCAAGCCCTCATCTCTCGATCCCGTAGCGTAGAGAATCTCTCCGATGTAAAGATTTAGGGCGGCTTCCTGGCAGCGTTCTAGGGTGCTTCGCCAGGGAGGTTGTGTGCCGTCGGGAGGAGGTGGAGGATAGTCTGGTGGGGCGAAGAATTTGACTATCTGCTGAGTGAAGGATTCGACTTTGGGTTTAGAAGCTGTTGTGCGAGGGGGGTCGTCAGATAGAGAGCGGCGAGCTTTGAGGATGGAGAGGTAGATTGGTAGGGCGGAGGAGATGTCCCCCTTGCGAGCTATGTGGTTGGCCGTGGCTGTCAGGGCATCGAGGACGTTCATTGATGGTGGTCCGGCGCGCTCCTTGAGAGTCAGGGTCCTTGGGTCGTAGGGCGTTTTCTTTGGGTCGACGTCGGAGGTTGCTTCTGCGAGTGCTAGCTTGTAGAGAGATTCGGCACCATCAGAATTGCCCTTGAATTCCATGAAACTGGCGTATTCCAGGCACGCTTCCATCTTCTGGCGCGAGGTCAGGCCTCTGGTCGCAAGGATTTTGGTGTACCAGTTGTCGGCGGACGGATAGGCGGTTTCGCAGTCTTCCTCGCGGGGGGCTGACGGGTTGCCTGGCGGGATTGGGGTCGGGTGAGGATTCGACGGGCCGATGACGAATTCGGGGGGCGTTACGATGTTGCGTGTTATGTCTCTCTGCCAGCCGTCGACGTGCTCTGCGGCTTTGGCTGCCAACATGATGGCCTCGAAATATCCTCTTCGCCATTCCTCGGATTTCGCTGAAATGTCGCAGGCAATAAACTCTCCGGGCACCTCCAGCAGCGGGTCGACCACATCCGAGAGCTTGATTACGTCCTGTCCGCCAGTCTTGACGTCTTCCAACCGAATGACGACTCCTCGCGCCAGCTCCAGCGCCCTCGCCCAGTTGATCTCGCCATTCTTTGGATCCTTGAAGCCGTTTGCGTCCCGGAGAAACTTCCTCGTCAAGTAATGCCACTCGTGCGGCGTCGGAAACTCTCGCTCTACAATCTCCTCATTGACTGCAAAGAAGATGGTCAAGACGCATATGGCGGCTCCCCACAGCGTGAGAGTGTAGCGCACAACGAGCTTCGCCTCATGTTTCCACCATCTCTGTCGTTCGGATGTGAAGCGTCGTACTGAATTGGGACTTGATCTGGGGATGAAGAGGAATGGCAGGATGGGTCGTGATCGGGACTGGTTCGCAAAGCTCCGGAGGCATCGCGGGCGGGAACCTGCGGGGTGCAGGAGGATCCTCCGGGATATTAATCTTGGGGCCATGGCGGCGCTGGCCTGGGAGAGCCGGAGTCCCGGGCTGGGCGAATCGATTCAATGGCGGAGGAATAATCTTGTGTCGTCGAGATCGATGCAATTTAGAGGGTCGCATCGTCATCGTATCTTTTGCATCCCACCTTCGATAAGCCCGGCTAATGACTAAGCAGCTATCAAGCCCGCTAAAATTCCTGCACAATTCAATGGCACCATCGCAGTAACTCATGTAGCCAATCGCTTCTCTTTGGATGAAACTTATAAGGAATTTACATGATGTGATGATCAGCATGTCTTCTTTCTTATCAGAGACGATCTCCAATTCCCGGTTTCAGCTGCTCGCAACTGCGGCTGTGTCCGGTGCAGCAGTTGCGGGATTGATACTGGGGTTTCAGGCATTGGAACGAGAAGAGCGGCTTTCAGAGCTCAAAAACTCCATTCCGTTGCTGTCAACCGACAGAGGAAGAGTAAATGAGTCCTCAGCTTTTTACAATCAACTTGGAGGCTAACAATCTCTTTAGTTGAACAGCTTCGGTGCCTCATCAGAGTCAGGCCTGGATCTTGAAGATGTTCGCAACATAGCCCTGGCTAAGCGTGCGCAAGCTGGAGACTTTGACGAGGAACTTATTCTGGAGCAGCTTGCGCGCAACCAGGTCTTTCTTACACCAGAAGGCCTACAGAAGCTGCGGGACTCGTTTGTTATAATAGTTGGCTGTGGAGGCGTCGGTTCACATTGCGCTGCTACCTTGGCTCGGTCAGGTGTCTCCAAGATTCGACTCATTGACTTTGACCAAGTTACTCTCAGCTCATTGAACCGACATGCCGTTGCAACTCTGGCAGATGTTGGCACTCCCAAGGTGCAATGTCTGTTTCGGAGACTAATTGCCATCGCGCCCTGGATCAAGTTCGACCTCTGTCAAGAGAAGTTTGATGAATCTGTTGCCGAAACTATGTTAGCGCCCTGGAAAGAAGATGGCCGTAAGCCAGACTTTATCATCGACGCCATCGACAACATCGATACAAAGGTTGCTCTGTTAAAGTACTGCTATGACAACAACTTACCCGTCATCAGCTCAATGGGCGCAGGCTGTAAAGGAGACCCTACCAAAATAGTCATCGGTGATATTGGAACGAGTAAAGATGACGGACTATCACGAGCTACGAGACGACGACTTAAACTTCTCGGAATCACCAGCGGCATCCCGGTCGTGTATTCTACTGAGCAATCTGGAGAGGGAAAGGCTGAGCTGCTTCCTCTACCTGAAGAGGAGTTTCAGAAAGGCTCGGTCGGCGACCTTGGCGTCATGGCAAATTTTCGAGTACGAATTCTCCCCGTCCTCGGAACTATGCCAGCCATCTTTGGGTTGACGGCGGCCAACCATGTTATTCTCAAACTAACCGGATATCCCATCTCATACGTGCCCGGCAAGGCGCGAGAACGAATGTATGAAGGTATTCTGACGTATGTTCAGGGCTCGGAAGAAAAGCTCGCTCGAATGTTCGTCCCCGGCATCACAGGTCTCAAGACGCCTCTCACGCTGGGCGACGTGGCATTTATGACCGAAGAATTGTATCGTGGTCGCAGTATTCTAAGCGGAATTCCAACGAAGCTGGTACTCATTAGGTGGAGGAAGCCAGAGACGTGTAGTATGACGGTTATTGGAGAAGGCAAGGACGAACAAAAGTGTTCGACGATCAGGCTCAGAGACTTGGCGTGTATGACGAAAGAAGAGGCCACGAGGCATGAAAAGGAAATCTTCAAGGCAGACAAGCCCCTCGAGGAACTTTATGATGAAGAGACCATCAGGCGTGTTGAGGAACGAATGGCAGAAGCGGAAAACTATGAGTGGTTCCGCAGATAGAATGGGAATATCAACATTCTTGCAATTGCCTCTTCCGTGCAAACACCGAACATTCGATGTAAGGCTTTGTAATTCTATGGGTATAGAGGGGCAGTTGGGAGTCTCAGGAAGGCACCTCCAGAAAGGCACCTCCGTGAAGACACCCCCGCGAAGGAAACCTATACTAAGGACCTTTCAGTAAGGCAATAAGATCACATGAACTATTATTCCGCTGTTTTGTGGCGGTGAGGGCGTGAATACGCCTTCTGACCCCATATCTTTACAGACTCGGCGGCAGCATCGGTAAAGCCGTCTTAGATGTCATTCGTCACCTCTTGCACTTGTAAAACCCGAATCAAATGTTGGCAATTAACATCGATTCTTCACCGGTTGGCCACTTGCACTGTAATACGTGGGCCTCTTGTATTCGCGGGTATGCACGGAGTAGGTCTATGAGGATAAAGTGGTGAGATACAACATGCAGGGGGTATCCTAGACCTGAGAGACCCATGTTACCACATGATGTAACCCACGAGGTGCGACACCTCATCCAAGACTTCATTGACGCCTCACCTATAAATGAGATGAAGGCATTCGGTGCGTCTTATTTGTTAACTTCTTGCCAGACACGTTGTGTAATACGTAAGGAAGAGAAAGACAGCAGGCTCATAATGAAACAGGGTCATAATGAAACAGGGTCAGCATGGTACCAGAGCACTTCGCATAAAAGTATGCAATAAATCTGCATGAATTTTATCTTCAGGATGGTCACATTCAGAGAAGTCAGGCCATACGCCAACGAATGAAGTCTTTCTTCGATTGGTGCTTAATTCGAAGGCCGGTGACAGGATGCTCAGTAGCAAAGAGAAGGAGCGTGGTGTAGGATTAAGCCATCACGCAGGTCACAGATTAATGAACGAGTCTGCTCCAATAATGAGCTCAAGAGTGAATCCTGTTCAAAGCCGTCGACGTAATACATAGAGTCGCCAGCTGTAGTTTGAGCTTTACCTGTTCCTTTTTCTTTGCTTTTTTTATTTGTGTGACTATTACGACTTTAGCTCACTGCCTGCTTTGCAAGGATAAGAGCCTGCGTTGAAGGCGCCAAGATTTAAGGAGGGTTTCCTTGCTTTTTCTCTCTCCTCGTTTACGTTTATTGCGCCTTAAATAGGGAGGCACTCCTTGCTTGCCCTCCCTTCGCTTCATCAGACGGCATCTTGATTTGTTGCCTTATTTTAATGAGTTTTGCAGAGGGAAATAAGTACATTATTTGCTATCGTTTACTCCGTGTTCAATAATACGAGTACGGATAGGCGGAGTATCGTGAGACAAAGTTTGCCTTGATGCATTCCGCTTCGTGTAATTGCATCACAAGCGCGGTTCATAGTGGCTGCCTTGTAAAAGGGTTATTTATCTGAGCGTCAATAGGCGTTCAAATTGAAGGCAGAAGAAAATAAATAGATAACTATTGACTCTCGACCTGCAGTGTACATGAACTATTTGCGCCACCACATGCACGAAAAGTTTGCATATCCATGTTCACGGCAGAGCACCAATACACACCATCTTCTATTGAAAAACACGTGATATTAGAGAAATCAATCTGTTAATCACAACATTCATGTATAGCAGTTTAGATGCCTTGAGACATAATCACAATGGTAGAGTGATAGTGGCGATGTCAGTGGGCAACTAACGTGAACACCACGTTGTCGTCAGGCAGGATTGGATCACTTTGCCCCCTTTTCATCCAGTTAGCCTTTTCAGCCTTATTCTTTTATGTTTGTTTATAGTTCAATGTGGCCTCATTCTGAATCATTGGCCAGATGACTTTTGTAGGATTTAGCGTACGATGTTGATCATGACCTAGGAATGCCCAAAATCCGACGGCTATATAGTGATAAGGAAAGCTTCTATCTAATTGGCAAAGTAGAAACTGGGGTGCCCTGAAACATGTTGATCATTCATTTGATTATGGCGAAATTGGGGAAGAAAAAAGTGAGGCGAGAATGCTAGGCCGATTGACTTCAGCCTGGATATATGATTGGCGCTGTTGACGTTCTTTCTCAATGGATCTGCACTCTGCACATTGTTAAAATCAACTAACCAAACTAGGAAATCGTCATTGCAGTCAAGTATGTACTGTACGGAGTAGAAGCATTTATATTGTCAAGTTGTTAAACAATAGACGCTGTTACAGTTATCACATCTGCTCTTTAGAACTCTCGTAAACTTTCAAAACAAAAGAAAAAGATGGGAAAGGTTGGAAACGTAGACAGGTCGATAAAAAACTTGAATCCTAGCAACGTATAAAACTTTTGATGGAGACTATTGTGCATATGATTCGAAGTTGTCTCATTATTGTTAGAATTGCTCGTGCATACTGATTTGGTCATGGCTGTAAGAGGTACCCTTAATACACCTCACCGTAGGAAGTGGGTAGGCCCCACTTCTGACTTCAGTGTTCTAGCATAGAGTGGAGATGTACATTATAGTAAAAGGGGTGATGATGGTGCCATAAGAACACAGAGCAACCTGGAAGCGTAAACTGACGATGTTAGTAAGAGCAAAGAAATACGTGCATACTTAAGTACAGGTATGTGCCTGGCGTGTATCGCTGCTGTGAGTCTATTACTGGCTCTCTTGGCGCTGCAAGGGGCTTTGATTCACCATGGCTACGTGTAGGTTAGCCTGGCTGCCACGACTACAGGCTGCTGTTAATAATAAAAACTTACATGTACATAGCTTGATAGATACCACATGGACATACCACCTCGAATTATTTCAAATGCTGCTCCGTAGAAATACGAGAGCCGTAGCTTGGCGGGAAAAAAAAAGAGTCATACGCGGTTTTGTCACCGACCTACCTAATCTCTTGAGGCAGTAATGCATACCTACACAAGAGATGAGGCCCAAAGTGCGAAGCACTCCATATAATACTTCTTTTCATGATAACTGCCCAAAGTCATGCCTTTCAAATGCCCAATCAATTGATTTTGAACTGGGTAGGCAGATATCAGCTGGGTGAAAGCCTAACATGATTTATGTGGTTTAGGCTTCATTTCCAGTAGGTAGCAGGCTCAAAGCTCAGCGCGGCAAGCCAATTAGACGCCCAAAGAGAAACACACAGAGCTCATAAGAATGAGGGATCTTCAACTGCTGCCCGAGCGAGAAGAATGACCAACATGAGGGAAGCAATAACAGCCACTTGTTTTCACAGAGATTTCTCCCTGATTTGACCACAGAGTGTATGGTGTCTGTCGGGCCTTGGCACATAGTCCAAGATGGAACTACCCTACCCCTTGAAGTAAGGCGAACAGATCTAGGCCAGAGATTGCCGAACTGCTCTTTCGTCATTGATGTCTAAGGCGTCTGAGACCGCAATCTCGGGTTGGTGAGACAAAGAAGTATACCTGTTTACGGTTAATCTCGGTCTCAATTTTTCGAAAATGACTTACCTCAAGCGCTAACATCATCGTCACGCGCTTTGTGGAATCCTCCCTACCGCACAAAGCAACACAAGTAAAGCAAGGCACCATGACATTGCCTGCTTCTTGACGCTTCGAATCACCGTCTCGACGCCGATTAGTTTCGAGAGACAAGGCAGAACCTCGCGTATCATGTCCATTTAGACGGCAACACATGGACAGAGAGGCGTCATGTTACCCAAGGTCTCTGGAAGCAACACTGGAGCGCTGTGCAACAGAATTATATAACGTTGCATAGGATGAGGCTCTCGATGCCAGCAAATGCCTGCTTCGCGGATAGTATATTAGCGTTAATCCTGACGGTATCTTCTCAGATCAGCTCTCGCGAGTAAACAACCCATGTGATTACAATTGAGACCATGAAGCTTCACGATTGGTAGACGCGGATAAGAGCGTCGATGGCTGCCTGCTTTGAGGTGAATAGTTGAGAGCTGTTGTCACCCTTTTACAGCAGGCGGCCAACCGGGTCTTTCTGAAGAAATGGGGTGTGATTAATGTTCCCGTATAATAAGGGGGCTGGCTCGGGTGTAATTGGAACTTGTGTAAGGTAGTTGGTGTAGGCAGTGTGTCTTGAGTGGTGATTTGCGGAATGGATCCCAATGACACGGACGAGGCTTTTTTTTTTTTTTGGAGACATGAGATAAACGTGAATACATTTGGACAGAAAAAAAAAATACATGAAACTTCAGGCAGGGCCTTTCGGCGAAGGAAATGAGGCTCTGTAGGATTGCGAACTGGCACCCGAGGCAAATTGTTGTGGTTGGCCATCCACGGAGAAGCTTTCTACTATCATGGGCTGAAAAGCGGCGGGTTTACTAAACCCGTAGCCAGCCTCGTCACTGGGATGGATTCCTACGAAATGAATATCAGAAATCAGTTGACGGAAATAGAACATTAGGTTGACGAATTATGCTGTCATCTGCCTGAATTATAAGAGACGGAGGCTACATGTACGTTTGAAGTTGTTTATGTGCTTCTACACGCAAGTATGCGCTGTACGGCGCTGCGGCCCTGGAACACGAGTAATTCGAATACAGGGTCAGGTAAATTCATTTTCTGTGACATCACCACCGCATAAGACAGGCTCGAAATGTTATCATACAACTGAAGCTTGTTCAAGACGCCATGTTGAATGGCTTTTTAAAAAGATTTCCCTCAAAGGGGCATCTGTAGTATATGGTAAATATCCACGCCGGCTCTGAAGCATCCATTCATTCAAGGCCGCGCACCGCGACCAAGCCGCGCCCCGCCGCCTCGAACAAGGACCTTAGGTTGCACACCTCCCGTAGCATGGAACCTGGCAAATTGATGTCCATGGGGCTGGACTGAGGCTCGTAGTGCAGCCCGATGACTTTTCCGAGACAGCCCGGGTTACAAATTACTTATTCATAGCCTTAGTATATATAGTCCCTTAACCTCCTTGTCCCGTCATCATCGAATTACTCGTCAAGCTGGACCTCACTCTCGCCCTCAGTCTTTAAAGATGCTATACACTTTAATTTCGTGAGACTCGCAAAACTCTCTACACTGGCCCATGTCGCTAAAATTCTTTTTTACTGTTCAATTATTATTATTATTACTATGATTACCACTTTTCTTTATCTTTACCATCTCTCCAGCCCATCTGAGAGCTCATCGCCAAATAGTAGCTATTCTAGCGACTTCCCAAAGCTGTGCCCAATCAGCCCTGACAGGTTAGTGTGGAATGGACGGGAATAGTACTTGGCCAATTTTCAGCCGCATCATTCAAGGCAACTGGTTCGCGCCCCAAATTCTCATGTACAGTATTGATGTAGTGGGTACGGAGTACAAGGAGCCCTGCAGCTCAGGCCTTGTGTTCTGCAGCCACCCCCCAAATCAATTCAATTCAGGGTGGGAGTGTACTCCGTGCATTACTAAGAAATGTGGAGTGTCATCTTTCATATTCATCGCATCGCCGCTTTTTGGGCAATGCTTCGCTTCCATTCCGTTTTCTTCTGCGGGCATAAACATCTCAGGGTCGCTCCAGGCCGCGCAAACCATTGCAAATGCTGCATCTTCATTATGCCGTCAACTAATTCATGGCTGCTAGATCCGGTTCTCGCTCTCTGTCCCTGAGTGGCTGTTCGCTCCAGTTTCCCGCATCTGCCACGTCCCACCAGCATTCAGCCTTGCCATCAGGCTAGCCCCCAAATCTACTCGCACCGGGGTATGAATCTGTTTAGCTGCGTTGAGGCTCATCTCCGCCAATCAACAGACACCATGTCGTCGGTGCAACCTGATATCTCAAAGAAATTCGTCAACTATTTGCGGAATTCTCAGCAGCTGAGTTGCCCCATCTGCCAAGTGGACGTCAAACCGCCCACGCTCAATGGGTTCAAGCACCATGTCCAAAGCAGCGCCGAGAAGCACCCCACGGAGGAGAAGGCCATTCTAGACGCCTTCGAGCGGATGAAGCTCAGCTCATCCAAACCTCAGTGAGTGACCCCCGCCCGGACATGTGACTGCCTTGCCTTTGTTGCCTTGTGTGTTACCTTTGTCTGACGTGTGCACAAAGACCTCAGCCTACATCTGCCACAGAACAAGATCAGAGTAAACGGTCAAAGAAAAGATCCGCCTTTGATCAATCAGACGACCAACAGAATCCAGAGCGTACTTCTTTGAATGCAAAGGAGAGCTCGGATAATGGGGGTCGCAATAAGAAGGTTTGCTCGCCCAGTAGCTCTCCCCCGCCCTCTACAAGCACGCCAAATAGGCGAGGGCGAGGCAGGCAGCAAGCCGACGGCAACAAAGAGTTTGATCGCGGACCCAAAGGTTCAAGTACGCGTCAGCTCTGGAGCCCGGGCAACGGTGGTCCTCAACGACCTTCACCTCTCAAGACACAAACCCTCGGCCAGCGATCCAGGCCGTTGTCGCATGCCAAACCAAGCCAGCATAGAATGGAAGAGCCCGATCCGGAACCCGGCCCAGTGGCTGAGGCTGAGCCAGATGATTCCTATACCGAGGATCCTTCGGTGTCCCAGCTGATCCGGCAACCCGAAACCAGGCCGATATCGCAAGAACAGCTCGTTGCTGAAGTCAAAGGCATCTACGCCGGACTCGTCATGGTAGAAAGCAAGTGTATCGAGGTTGATAATGCTCAATCGGCGAACAAGGACTCACCCCAGCAACTTAACAACGAGCAGTGGCAGGCACTTATCGCTCTGCATCGTACGCTGCTTCACGAGCATCATGACTTTTTCCTGGCCAGTCAGCATCCCTCTGCTAGCCCGGCACTTCGACGGCTGGCCTCTAAGTACGCCATGCCGGCCAGAATGTGGAGGCACGGCATACATTCGTTCCTTGAACTCTTGAGACACAGGTTGCCTCAATCTCTGGAGCACATGCTCACTTTTATATACATTGCGTACAGTATGATGGCCCTTCTCTACGAGACTGTACCTGCATTCGAAGATACTTGGATTGAGTGTCTCGGAGACCTGGGCAGATACCGCATGGCAATTGAAGACGACGACATTCGAGACCGAGAAACTTGGACTGCTGTTTCTCGATACTGGTATTCAAAGGCATCGGATAAGCTACCGACCACTGGTCGACTCTACCATCACCTAGCTATTCTGGCGCGTCCCAACGCGCTTCAGCAGACATATTACTATACAAAGTCTCTTTGTGTCCCTATCCCATTCTTAAGTGCCAGGGAGAGTGTCATGACACTGTTTGACCCAGTCCTGAGTCAGGGACCCCCCCGGCTAGAGGCGATTGACCTCGCCTTTGTCCGCATACTCGCTATTTTCTTTTCTGGCAAGGAGAAAGACCTGCTAGGCTTTTCCGCCAGGCAGTTTCTGAGTCTTTTGGATGGACACATTGCTCGAATTACAAAAAGTTGGCTAGAAGCTGGGTAAGAATATCTCATCTTTGCATTCATCTAGTTGTGAATCACGGCTTACAAGTTTATAGATACTATATGGGCATATCGATTACCTGCTCTCTCCTTGGCTTCGGTAACGATTCCAATGTCCTGAAACATGTCATTGTCCCCAAGCGGTCCGATGACATGGACACTGCTGGAGAAATCGTTACTCAGGCGCCGATTCCGGCAGACACTTTTTACCAATCGCTCTCTTTGGCTGTACAAACACTGGAGATAGTAATTCAGCGATGGGGAGATATGAATATACTGCCATTTCTCCACACACAAATGGTGTTTATACACCATTTGTCTAAATTTCCGGCTGCGATGAGATTCATCGAGCATAAGTACCCCTGGAAGCTGGTTGCGACGATGCTCAACTACTTGAAGCAGTCCTGCAAGTTTGAACCTCGCATGGACAGTGCGGAATTCCCTGGAGCAGAAAACCAAGATCATTACCGACCACTCCCAGAAGATTACGCCATGCGTGGCCTGATCTACACTGAGGAGTACTTTCCCCTAAACTGGTTCTCCGGCGAGGCCGTTGAAGAAGATGAAAAATACTTTGAGCAGGCGTCCATGGTGGATGCTCGAAAGGAGAGAATTCTGTGGATTGGACGACAAATCTCTTCTTTTGGCCAGTGGCTTCTGTGGGATGAGGCCAACTCCCAGTTTACCGTGGCAGATGAATATGATGTTGACTTTACAGCCAAAACTCCCGAAGTCGGTGCCCGCGAGATTGTAACTCTCGGAGCCGGTTCACATAGCTTAGATGCTCCTTATCGAGCAAATTGAACCTTCAATTCAACATTCATAAGGTGCATACATGGGCGTTGGTGGCTTTTTGATTTTGAAAGGAGAGGTGCCCCGGGCACAGACGTAAAAAGCACATGACATAACTGGGCTTTTTTTCTTGTAATAATATTTTCATGCGTTTCTTTATTTTGTTTTACAGTGCACATTTTTGTTTCTTTTGTTTTACTACCGTGTACACTCGTCAACTCATTCTCAACAATGAGTATAATTACAACAAATGGACTAGGATAATCAAGAAATGAAAATAAACATAAGAGACTTTATAATTGCAGTGGCTATTTGTAGAATAGAGGTTTATTCTGGGGATTCAATCTCTTGTTTTTTTTTATAATAAATTGTATTTGTCTTTCTTACTAATATAAATATATAATTAGAAACTACATGGGGTTGATACTGGGAATTATATTGGGATACATTATTAATGGATAACATGTCCATATACAGATATAAGCACATTGAGATGGGGACACATCAAGTTGACGAACCAGTTTAGATAAGCACTATGAGATACAAACATGTTTAGATGCAGCCCAGGTCAATATGAGAAACGTAAGAATGTAAGTGGTGGGCTTCTATATACGAATTGCCAACTTCCGAAACTGCGGCTCAAAACATGGCGACGAACCGGTGGCTGCGGGCGGCTCTTCCCGCCTGCATGAAGGTCCGTGCTCACGTGCATGCCGGGCGCTTGTTCGAAGCCGGGCAAAACAGGCCGAGGATGGACTCGAAACCGGGCAAACCTGCCAAGAACGGTGTATGATCCAGACGGCTAGAGCAGATTGCACGTGGTTAAGGCGTGGCTATGGAGGAACCATTAGGGGAAGAAAGCGGTTGAAATTACTAATAGGTACCTAGGTACGGATTGTTGAAAGTGGGAATATTCTAGAATGAGTTATAGAGACTCTTCTTTTATTCTTAGACGATTACTCATACTCAGCTCATACATTGCGGGTGGAAAAATGATATCTGTTTATATTGATACACCTGTCTATATATTGGTTCACACACTTATATACTGGTACACACACGTATATATGTATATACATGCCATATATGTATATACGTGCGTAAATGTGCCTAGTATATATGAGAGATAAAGCGGCAGATACATATATCGTAGCTCCTTAAGGTTGATGGAGGGGAGGTGATGTATGCCTAGGTAAACACATGTCCGTCATGACATCATGGAAGCAACTGCGTTGTAATGTGTCTGCACCGAAAGGCGTCAGGTTGTCTATCACATGGACCCCCTTGTGATTCCACACACAATTACATATAAATTGTATAAGCACTTCCGCAGCTCCCATAGACTTGCCTGATATGCTCTCACCATCACAACATTTTGCTGTGAAAGTACAGTCCGATAGAGACCGTGTGCACTTACGTTTCAGTCACAGTTGAGTCGTTCCTTAGCAAGGCTCCCATGTCCAACCCGAAGAAAGCGCGCAGTTACTCAGTTACTCAACCCTTGCTAGTGGAGGGGTAAACTACCTAATAGAGAACGTACCTATATCCCCGCTCACTATAACATGCTTTACATTAATAAAGGGGCTACTCGCAAGGCAGCAGGCAAATTTAGGCAAACCTTTGTATATTAAGAGCCTGCACGACATCGCGTATGGCCTAATATAGATAGTCGGACAAAGGGACACAGGAATATGCTGATGAACGATGATTGGATTGTATCGGGATAGAAATTGCGTGATACATCAAAGCAAAAGACTCACCGCAGCAAGGGAATTTTCGGGCGAGGGGTCAAGCGGTCGGTGTGTCTTGGGCATGCTGGCAGCCTTGAGGGCATCAACAATGTCGGATCTACGTATTTAACTGGCGAGTAGGAGGCCGCATCTGAGGAGCGTTCGTCATAACACTTATGTTCATGCATGGACGGAGGTATAACAACTGACAGAAAAAAATGGGTCAAGAAGGCTGCGTGGGGGAATTTGTAGAGCCTGTGATAACACAATGCCCTGTTCTCCCGGGTTCCCCCATGTTCAAAACATGTAAGGCAGTCAGTGCCTTAGATGCACGTTGCTATATAATTGTGCTCGGTATTCGGAAATAACCGAGTTGGAACGTATGGAAGGCGTTTGATGCAGCCGTATTTGGGAACTCCGTCAACTGCAGCTGCAAGTCATCGCAAATAACAACCTATTCTCGTTTCACATCACGCAATGCTGCAGTTGTGACACTTGAACTGGGGCAATAATTGGCCCAAGCTTTCGGACGCGGATGCAGTGAGGCTCATCTGTCCTGCAAAACACGGACTCTGTAGCCTAGGTAGGAATCCTGTTGAGGGAACATCTTTTCTCTTATAACATACACCCCGCAACCATCTACTTTGTTTAGCTTGGTACTTTTCTTGATGCCATTAGCAAGTTGATGACGATCAGTACCAAGCTAACAAAATAGATGCTTGCGGGGTGTACTTGGAGCTCTCATAGAGGTTGCAAGAAACTCCGCCGTTCTGCCTATCACTTATAATTTTTACAGTGGTAGATCGGCGGTGTTTTTCTTAACCCTCTTGACTATCCCTTTGAGTGCCATAAGGTGCGCTCTATGTACCTTTAATACCTAAAACCAATCAGATAAACAGAAAGGAGAAAATCTCTACCCAGAGCAGAAAAAAGCGGATACGGTACGCAGAGCGCACCTTACGGCACTCAAAGGGATGTGTGCACACTAATCCAAATGTGGTCCAAGTGTTGAGAAGGGACCGATCTCTACGAATTCCTTGTCCTGGGGATTGTCCATAGCTCCACTTATGCGGTTGCCTTTTCTTAGCCTGCATATGCAATGAGTGGAGCATTTACCCTCATCTTTCGACTTCTACAAGTATGTTAGAATATTCCCAGAATTTGACCTGTCCTTTTGCAATACGCCCAACGTTCTCGTATCAGGGCAAAGTTCTACAAATGTTGCCTAACCGAGCTTCGTGCGGGGCTGAGGGGTTCTTTTTTCAATCACCCAGAACTTCTCCAGAACATTCCGTTCCATATTCTTCACATTCTAGTACTGTTCTTTGGTTTTTCCCAACTCCGTCTCCTCGCTAAGGAGTGTCTTGTATTCACTGGGACCCTGATATTACTGTAGTTATCCGCTTTATTGCTTCCACAAGCGCTGGTATGCAAGGAGCCGTACGTATTAGTGCCATGACTTGTAGCACCATACGGAGTACCCGGATGGCCTCCTCTCGTGAGCTGAACTACTGTAAGACGGGGAAATCATCTCACTTAGAGCTCTACCAGTAGCAAGGTCCATCCACTCCCCCGTTCCGCCACTATCCTGGCACTAGTAGGTCTCCAGGCAGCTGCAGCAGCTCCATATCCTTGGCCTTGAATGTTTGACCCTAAAATGGCTGGAAGCCTCATTAGCATCCTAGAGCTGAAGTTATTGGGGGGGAGGGGTTTAGCGACACCGAACGACGGTGTCTATTTGTTAATTTGGAGAGCTGGGCTTGTCCAACATAGATGCGTTCGGTAAACAACTTTCGGATCTGTTATACATGTATTCAGCTGGACATAGGCCTCCTACGTCATATATTGATCTAGAACGGACAAACTTCCGCATCACTTTTGCGGCTGAGCCGGAGGAGTGATGGCAAAGAGTCAATAAGCGGCGATATCTAAACAAGGCCGCTAGGTGTCACTGACGCTCGGGTACGGAGCATTGACATGGGGTATGCCTAAATACTACTGCAAGCTATGTCAACGCGAATTCTGTGGAATGCTCCACCATCATCGGGTCTCCAATCTACTGATGCACAGGCCCTTTTGTTGCCTCGCAGGAGCCTTGAACTTTCGTTTACGGCCGGCTTATTCCTTACTTCAAAACCCGCCGACGAGGATCCTGAGTAATGGCCCAGAGCAAAATTTGCTCATCTCTCGCCACTCAGCATCACCTCGGCGTATTTTTTCGTGTTGCCTTATTCAGGGTGAGAGGGTCGGCCAATTTTTCTTCATGGGAGTCGTAACCCTGGGGCTGAGTTCTTCGGGCCTCCAATAACCTTCAAATCGGCCCCAAGGACGAAAAGATGCCTTTTCTACACCCAATGTTCTCTGATTATTTCCTCCTTAGGCATTCATTCTACGGTCATGCGATCCAGATGACCTGCGGGTGATCTGGTAGCTAGTAGGTAGATCAGCCTTTTCTTAGGGCGCGGGTGTGTGTTCCGCGACGTGTCAGAAATGTAGGAGTGTCGGATGTGGTACTCAAGTGTCCGTATCACATATTAAGGTAGGGAGTAGCAGCGTAGAAAGCACATGTAACAAAATTAATATATATTACTACGTGTAGGGGGGTAAGACAAGGCTGCTAAGCTATGGCCACTTATGTTGCATATCAAGAACAGAATGACCACCAACAACTTGCTGACTCCATCGCTAGACAACGTCAGCCTCATCCATGGGAACAATCCATCATCCTTTGAACTCTTGAACAATTCCCCAACGTAATTATGCATCCACATACCTCTGGTTAGTGGATTTCATCATACAAACTGTAGCTGGTTAAGCTTCTGCAGCGGCGTATCGATGCCTCTATTTGGTCAAGTAGTAAATCAGTAAAATGGCTGCCTATGGAAGGCAACCAAACTAAGAACTTCATCCTTGATGAAGATCAGACTTGATAGAGCTACAGCTATTTAGCGGTGAGAAGCCTAGAGATGGAGAAGGGCTAACGGGCGTAAGCTGAAATCGCCACTAGCATACCCAGGACTTTTCCAGGTGAGATACTTTTCATGCCCAACCATCAGCCCAATCCATCAACTAAGCCATTGGTAAAAAGAAGGAAAAAACACTCCTTCTTTTTGGCTCTGAACGTATGTCCTGTAATGTTAGTCTAGTCTTGATCAAATTGAATGGTGGTCTATTTGAAGGAATCAGGGAGCAAGATGAAAAAGTGTTTTATCAGATCAGCTTAAATCGTGATGAGTTACACCCGTAAACTCTGCGCGTAGAAACTCTTGTTGAGTAGAAAAAGACAACAACTTTATGCTAATAACACGTGATAGAGAGAATGGAAAAGATCAACTAAACGTGACAGCAGTGTAGTATTTTAAAAGATTGTATTACTACCTACATCTCCTCCTAATATGAGAATAAATAAAGCTATGTTTATATAGCTTGGTGGCTTTATAATACATATAAAGTGCTCTTGTTTTATTTTTCGATTGTTTGGGCTATACTATCGGCTCAGAAATGTTTTATCTTCAGAGTTAAATACCTGATACACTCTTATATAACAAGTATTATTGTAGACTCAGAGTCGCTTAGATCGTGACTGATGGTGATTCAGCGTCTCCCAGTATCATCATTCTGTAGAAACGAATCCAGATATTTCTTTGGAAGAATGTCCACATATATCGAGTCTTACATGTGTCTCGATATATTGGAACTCAGATCATCGATGATATATTTTCAAATTACGATTGAACCTAGTGCTGTTATAGGTATTATGCTAACATCAACAAACGAACATACGTTGAAGCCGTCCAGACCAGATGTATACACCATTTCAATCTAACAAAATGCGACCCTATGTGACATTAATCAACATCCTACGCACGACCAACCTTCTATGTTGTTTTCATGTATGGCTAGGCTATAAGATTTTATCTCTTTTTCGATGAATCTCTTGATACTCCGTTTCCAGAACGGCGCTCCAGTCAGCATCTACATCCATTCTATATCGTGTACCCATTATGACCTACGACTACCACATTTCTTTTTATTTCCTTCTTTTTTCCGTTTACCATAATCTGGCTGCCAGTACTCTTCATGTACTCCAAATCCTTTATCCACTGAGAGCTTTTGTACATGTAGCCACTCATCCGGTAGACAACGAGCTCCCAATTGGTAGAGATATCGCATCAGCTCCGCATCTCCATCAAATGCATAACCAATCTATAACGATTGAACACGTATGTGTCTCCAAATCATCTTTGCCATCAAATTAGAGGTCCGGAACTATAGCATAAACACCGAAAATATGTAGGATACTTTCGGGGAGTATCCGATGGCACTTCAAGGCAACCGCATGATACTGATCCGAATGCGAAACCTTGCATGTTGAAGTGCCATCCGACGAGGCAACTGGACCAGAGCGGGGAGTCGGGTGATCACGAATATATATGTACTGTATGTTTCGGTAATGCTGGCTAGTCTACTGCGGTCCAATGCAAGAAGGCAATAGTTACATCATTTCTATGTAAGGATGTCAAAGGCTGGCATCGAAGAGAAAGTTACAGGTCACAATGCCAATGCTTGGGCCTTGACGCTTCTGTTTGAAACGACACGCCTCATCACATGTGGAAGAAGCTGCAAATGCAACATTCAGGTGAAGTGTTACAAGCGGCTTGTTCGCGTGAAGGATTGGACAAGACATGACCGAAAAGGAGAGGACGCGGGCGCAGCAAATGCAACAGCGGCTCGTTGGGGGCGGGCTTGAGCCCAGCGCGTGATAGGGTTTTGGCACCTACATTGGCTTGTGGAAGTAGGCAAGGAAGCCTATGATTTTGAGGTTCAGGCGCCGGGGAGTTATCACATATAAAAAATTGAGAATTAGTTCAAAAGTGGCAGCTGCAGGGGAAAGGTCTAGACCATTGCCGCAAGCTGATCTGCATCTTCACCGCAATGTGCCAGACAAGAAGGGATGCTGGGTTGGATGAGATGGCCTTTTACGCGCCTGACGGAAGTAATTGAAGGCGGATTCGAACAATGATCTAATTGGAGAGCAAGTGGACTAAGCTCCAAGTTTTACGGAGCACTAGAGCAGCTACTGCAATCATGCAGCTGCTGTATTGGCCGCTGTGCACGGTGAATCAAGCCTTTATAGAAAAATGTTGGATAGAGTAGGTATGAATAGGAACGTTTTTAAATGATGAAATATGGAGTAGAACAAGAGAAGTATATTTGATATTCACATATATGGACAATATCAAAGTTCTTCCCAAGCGCTCGATGTAGCATATCAACATCTCGAGAACATAGATCTCTAGAGGGCATAATGTAGATTGGTCCGAAATAAGCTATGCAAATGACTTGACCACGCAATTCTCCCTCGTGTATGGGAATGTTGAATTTAAGTGAAGTCCGGCAAATTTCCAATCCTAATGATTGCAGTCTTAGAATTGTTTACTAAAGTACGGAGAGATACACAAGAGGCCAGATAGTTTCTTCCTAAGACAAAAGAATTGTTATGGATGAATTCGCCAATGGATTAAGTCTCTTCATATTTCGGGTTTCTAGAGAAGAACTACGACGTAGATCTTTTTGCTTGCCTGCTCGAAACTTCTAGACACTCAGAGGCCCAGTAGCTACCATTTCTGCCCGATCAGCCAACCCCCGGATCATTGATGACATCAAACAGATAGGCTGTAGTATTTCGTTATATTCCCGTGACCATTCCGTTTCGATTGACATTGGTATGTAGATTTCGAAGAATTATTCTCCTATGTTTCTAAGATCTTTTCTTTTTCTTTTCACTTTGCGACCGAGCTGTTAGACAGGTGGCATGATAGACAGGCACTACTCTGACTAGTTTCTTACTGCATTTACCGTTGCCCACATACAACTCAAGATTTTAGCGGCATTGCTAAACCTGATAATAGAGTCCATCTAATAAAGATTGCTCTTTTTCATTGTACAGCGAGGGGCAGTATGGCTTTCTAGATAGGATTCTTAGGCAAAAAGGAATAATGGATTCTTATGGTTCATACCTTGAGTCATGATCTGGTTTGCTATTGGCCAGGTAATCGCCAAATGTAAGAGAAGTAATTATAACATGCCACCGGAAATGGAAATGATACATTCAAGAAAGTTCTCCAGATACAGAAGTATACTCCAAATTTCATCCTCAATTGCAATACAACGTGAGACGCAATCCTGATATCTCTGCTAACTGTCACATACTGAAACTTCTTTAGCATTTAGCTATAATTTCAATGTAAAAACTTCACTATTCATACTTATGTGAGAGTGATCTCTAAATTTTGTATCGCATATCCGGTTGTCATAATAATTACCGCGAAGAGCATTGTCGTTGATAATATGAATTCCTCCATGGTAGTAAAGAAACGTTCGCATTGAGGCAGATAAAACATGTTTCCCCTTCTTTATCTATAACTGAGCATGTGGAAATTTTCTTTAAAAACAACCCTTGTCTAAATAAGGGCTCGGGCAAATTGTAACACTTCGCATCTGATCATTCTTATATTCTGAATTCTGTACCGCTATATATCTATCCATCATAGTATTCGTCTCTCATCAAAGTGTTCATCTCTCACATGGTACATGCCACTTGGCGGTGGCAATTTCGGCCCGAGGACCTTTTTCATGCTCCTCCGCATATCCTTTACAATATTTCTACGTGTATAAGCTCCTTTTATGCTGGGTGTCACATCCTCAACCTTTTGTTGTGAGTTTATGTTCTCTGGCATGTCTTCTTCCCATTCGTCTCCCAAATCTTCCCCTGGTTGTAATCTTGTAACGTTAGCCTCAAACTGATTTATCAGGACCTCCATGGAAGCCGGGTGAATCAAGCCAAGAGGCTGGACAGGAATTGCGTGGCTAATTTCGTATGCGCGGCCGTAGTGGATACGAGCAGTGTTGGATAGAGCCAAAGAGGGATGATCGGGCTTCATCCGCACTGGAGACAGGATAACTTTCGTCTCATTGGGTGCAAGCGGTGGAGGGGATTTTTCAGAGCTGAGGACACCATGAAGTTCTTGATCTGACTGATTTCCACACCCCTGTTTCATATATCTTTGTCTTCAGTTAGCCGTAAGCACCTCGAACAGAAATCTACCTGGCTTCACTCACGTATGAATGCCCAGACATAAGCAACATTTGTTATCTTCACGGACCACAACAAATCGTTGGATCATGATGGGGCCGCCAACGTCCAAATAATATTGTTGCGAAATATCCCAACCTGAAAAATCCCAGTCTTCCTGGATAGGAACGTCTATTGTTATATCCTCCAATACTATCCACTTCTCTGCTGAAAACTCTGTACTTGTTGAATGAGGAAGCTTCTTGAGTTGTTTTTTCCATGGAATTACCTTGAGGTTCGCCGAATTCTCGTCTTGTTTCAACCCAAAGTAATATTCTTTGTGGCAAGCTCGAAAATGTTGCGTTGCCCAATAATCTTGCAAAATGCGAGAATTTTGACCACAAAGCAGACACTGCACACTCTTCCTATCACCTGGTATATCTCTGCAGTAGCGAGTCATTCTGTCAAGGGGGAGCTGCCGTATCTGGGTGAGGCGCTTGATCATGTCTTCGAGCTGCTCTCTGTCCGCGACGGCTTTCAACTTCGGGATTGGTGCCAATGGGAGATTTCCAAAGTCAACCTTTCGAAAAGCACGCTTGTTTTCGAAAGATAGACGAGAGGTGATTTGCGCAGCGAAAATCTGCCCTGGCCTGAAAAATGAGATTGGTTTTTTTTGCATTTCAAATTCTTTGATCCAGACTTGATCCAATGCAGTTGCTGTGCTATATATACTTCCGAAGGTTCGGATGTCCTTCCATTGGGTAGGCCGGCCCATCCTAGGACGTAGCTCGACGCTGCACCTGGCGTCATACCCAGTTCTGTATGTAGCATATGATCAGCTATTATCAATTAAGATGGCCACATGTAGTCTCGCCTACTCACTTATAGTAACAAGCAAGAGAGACGAGGCAATTTATAGAAGCAAGCATCCCGCATAACGAATCATGTAATTGTCTAACCTACATCATCATTAGCCCGAGAATACCTTTCAAGCCTGAGTCTTTATAGTAGCTCTCGCCTTTACGGGCATTTGGGTGGCCCACCTGCCCTTTATAAGCATGTCTTTGATCGGGTTTCCAGAACCTCCAGGTTTCAAGCTGCTGCTATACGCAGAGTGGCTATCCAAGAACGATCCGATTAATTCCCTCGTAGAGTTGACGGTGAATAGAAGAGCATTCACTGTGGCTTGAGAAAGCTGGTTGGATGCGCGTAGATCATTCACCTGGAGGAGAACTCGATGGACGACATCCAGTTCTGTAATAAGTGTGCGATACTCCTCAGCGGCACCTTTACTCTCGGAGAGCATCTTACTTAGCTGGTACGCCAGTTGCGCGACAGCAATAAAATCACCAAGAGAAAAGCCTAAAGACATTGTGGACTTGGTGCGCCTTTCAATCGTAAATTGATGAAGGTGTTAGTAACAATGCTGCGAAGTAGCCAACTGCGGCAAATGCCTAGGCTCTATACAATCCAATGGTACTGAGAGGTAAAAAGAACTGGTCTGCTCCAGACGCGCCGCCAACACGATTGCTTCGCGCGATAAAACTGCGGCTGTGCATGCATGCGCAAGGTACAAGTGCTCAATAGCATCCACGTATCCATACATGTAGCAGAGACATGACTGGGAGTTACATTAACACAAGAAAGTCGGGTACCAACAACGCGAGAGCCTACTTGTAAGCCTAAGACTTCTGGCCAAGAGCCGCAGCACACTGCATGTAGCTTGCCCAAAACGGACAATCCCAGCCTCACGAACACTTCTGCTCCCACCTCGAAACTCGGAAAACTGGCCTATATACTTCTGAGCTCTGAGATGAATTTTAGAGAAAGAAAGATCATATATAAAGTTGTTGCTAGTTCTGAGGATCACGACAATTCAAGCGCTGTTCAAACTGATTAGATTCCAACTTCGTGGCTCTTTGTGTACGTTATCATCAACATGAATGATACAACAGACCGTGAATGCTACACAAGCCTCAATCGGGAATGGCAGTGCATGCATGCTGCATTAGTAGGTAGTATTCGGAGTGGCTGTACATGTTTTCATCACCAACATGCTCCAAAGGCACTTCTTCCATCCTGTTCATCCATCAACCTCCTCAATCTGTTGTTTCCCGTCAATTCTTGGAGCACCATTTGTCTTGTCATCTTATTATACATGCGTTGGCTTCACGAACAATGACCTAGGCCGTGATTGACGAGTCGTCCGAGAACGCGACCCCTCGTGACCAGTTACCGAGGCCAGTTATCGAGGCCAAACCGTGACAATCGTTTCTAGATACCTGAGCACAACAAAAAGATCCCCCCCAAAAAATCCACAGTCATCTGTGTCTCGCTGTATCGAAAGCGACTTGACTTATCGACCCTCCTACCTATACACAATTTATGAGACGCACCTCACGAGAATCATCTTTCACCTTCTCTATGTTGGCGATCCATCTATACCTGCATTACAAGGAGAAAAGGCTACCAGTATAGGCATTTTCTCGACACCAGCGAACCCGAACGATGGAACAGCAGTTGGATTGGCAAGAGGGGGGGTCCCAGGGACCCACGACCCTGGACCTTGATCTGACACACATGGGATGTCAATTCGAGGAAACAGATATTGAGGGTAACACCAGTTCCAGCGAGTTGGCACATACGACGCCGCCAAACTATGCCCAAATGGAAGACAGCGAGTCTCGCGTTCAAATCGCCGACGGGTCGGTCGTGGAGATGTCATCGAGCCCCGAGTTACCAATAGATTCCTCTAGTGAAGGCGAGGGGGGAGCGAACACTTCTGCTAAAGAGCTTGAACTTCTCAAAGTTGACCGCGATTGGACTGTGCCAAAACCAAGTGACCCTTGGAGTCACCTTACGCCATGGCATCCGGAGTCTCTCAAGCATTTCCAGAAGTTGTACCGCCATTTGCCTTCAGCCCAAGTTCCCTCTAACAGCTCCGCGGATGCCGCAGGGATCGCCGCTACTCAGAGCGATTCTGGATATGCGTCTATTCCAAAGGATGCTCCGGGAGCTACCCCAAAGCTTCAGACGGAAGTGGCTGTTCTAGAATCTCGCAATATTCCATCAGCAGCGAGTATATCGGAACCCATCATTTTTCAGAGAGCCGAGGATACTGGGGAAAGTCAAACAGCTTACTCAGACCAAAATTCCGAGGATGCTAGGAGGGCTAAAGAGTACATTTGGGAGTTCACAAAATACCTTTACCAACGAATTGATCGGCAGCTCACATCGATGAATCTTGAGAAGGCGATCAAGGTGCTTCCAAAACTGTTGGGAGCATATGCTAAAAAGATGGGCCAGACGTCGCTCATACAAATAAATAGAGACATAATGTACTCTGTGTACAAACACCGAAAGTGAGGAATTGGAAATCTTTAATAATTCATCTCAGTTCTCAGACAGAGCTAACGCACAACTCACATAGACTGATACCCCAGTTGTTGAAGATCATCTATGAAGATGACCAAGCAGTGATACGAGAGCCTGACACGGAACTGATGTCAACAAATGATAAAATAGATCTACTCTGGAGCAAAGGATCCGACACAGACAACCCTTCAGATCCCGAAGGAGATCTGGATCTGGTTGCTAGAATTGACGACGATGATGACAGCGACAACAACGACTATCCACCAGAGGGCGACTTCTCCCAATACCGCGATGCGATTATTGAACACCCCTCCTTTGAATGGCTCATACAAAGGCTCTCCATTGTGCTGAGTATCTCTCCAACAGACTCATACGCCATGATGGCTATTAGTCAGCGTATTGAAGAAGCTCTGCATGATGATGATAGGATAAGCAGAACACGCGCGTTGAAGCCGTTCACGGTGATGTTCGAGGTCAACTGCGACATTCTTACATTTGTACGAGAGCAACAATATCATGAGCTTGCTGCCGACGTGATACCAAATGTGGTAGCTTTGACAGGGACTAACGCTACCAACGTACAAATTGCATCACCTGAACAATATCTTCGAAAGGTATGGCCAACTATAGGGTGTCATCTTTTGGAAACTACTCAGGGAGCGCTACGAGTGTATGATCCCGCTTTACCATTTCAAAACTCAGTAGCATGTGAGTGAATTCATACCCAGGAAGATGACGTAGCAATGTATTGACGGCGACTTTAGACACATACGCAGATCGCACAAAGATAAAGGTTTCAATTGGGGAAAGAAACTTCAGGGTTGAAACAGTCGGCACAGCTCATTCTATCGCAGAAATCGCAGAGCAGATTGGGTGGCTAGCAGCAACTCTTAGGTCCGGGGATAGCCATCCCCATATCTCGCTTTGTCGCCCGGAAATCATCGGCTTCAACGTCAAAAACAACCGGAATATGCATGCCGAGGAAGATGAGCTTGGAAAAACTTTTGTTTGTAAAGTGGAAGTTTTTATTGACGAGATTGTGCCCAACTTGCCGAGCGTCGACGGCCAATGCTGGATGGCAATGTTCAACAACCCAGTTATTGTAAAAGGCTATCCGATAAATCCAAGAGAAGGTTCTATGCCTATAACCGGATTGGAAATGGCTTGGGAAGATATGATAGCCTTCACGCATACCCCACACCACGCGATTGTTGGGGGGAAGATCGTGATGAAAGGGTTCTCGGAGGCATTAATCCCGACCGGAGTTCATGGAGATATCATCTCTTGGCACTACTTTGTTGACGAATCTGGTGCTCGTTTCCCATATGGAGATCCTCGTATACAGCAAGGGATGTTCGTTCCCTCAGATCAGCTCGGGGGTACATGTCGCCACGTTATCGGATGGTGTGCGAATGCGCAGAATAACATAGGTAAGTCATAACTTCGAAGGAATACATGAGCATTTTTTAACGTGTATTACAATATCCAAGGGTCCCCCAATGGAAATTATGACATTAAGGGATCCGGTCTTTCATCAGGCGGCGGAGGCCTTACCTGGGAGGGGCTTGATATCAATGTGGGTGTCCAAAACTGCGCAACGGTCACTTCGACCTTGAGGAGAGGCATGAAAGACATGCCGATCTGCGAGCCCTCACCGCTTTATCGATCCCTTGTTGAGCATGTCGGGCAGCATTATTTCATGTTGTACGATGTTGAAGAAAGACGTGGTTACTTGTCTAACGGTCTACCCGTACTCCTTCACCTCGTCCTCGCTTCCCTACGATGGGGGGAAAAATATAATTCGCATGACTTTTATACAGATGCTATCGAGCGACTTAAAAAGATACCTCTTTCTACCCAAGGCACACAGGCGGCAAAACAAATTCTATACGATAGTGCCAACTGGGTCATCAAGCTTCACTTGGACGATATAGACGACTCTACCACGAAAGATATTAATCATCTCTTGAAAGATAGAGTGAAGAGTATTTGTCACCTCTTAGAGGCGGCCATCGAGAAAGCGAATAAGGCGATTACTCAAGGTGCCTTGAAAGGTACGCCAAAGAATCTCTTAGGCGGATTCGACTTCATGGATATAGCGGTATGCAGACCATTGAAGCCCATCACAGAAAAGCTTCAAATTGCGAACCACGGCACTGGGTGGACAGATCTTGCCGACTGTCTTGGAGCACTTCCTCTTTTTGGTAACAACTTTGGAGATTTAATTAAACCAGAAGCAGGGAGTGTTGCAAAATCCTGCAATCAATGTGGATCTGAACCCAATTTACCGTCTGGGAAGAATTACGTGGCAGTATGTGTCGATGTCCTGAAAGAGATTCGCGAAAGGAATAATGGGTGCAAGAATACGACTCCGTGGCCGCTCATAGACGGCCTCCGCTGTCATATTGACAAAACTGATTTCGAACCCTGTCGGTGCATCAGCTCTAATAGGCCAGGCAGTAGCCATGATCGGGTTCAAGTGCTCTCATCCAAAGACAGCTTCCTGGATACAGCATCGGCCAATCCAAATGATATTGACAGTAACGGTGCGGTCATATTCGGCCACAAACCGATTGTCCACAAACGGAATAAGAACGGAGGCAATATATTCACCCGAAGTAGCCGGAAGACTACGACCATGAAGAAAGGCTGTTCTCCTGGCGACAGCATCCAATTGCAGGTAATGAATACAGCGGTCGGGGTGCCTTCGTTATCCGCAACAGAAGATGGGAATTCCGAGGCAAATGAGAACCAGTTGTCCGACACCGTGAGCTCTGCTACCCCCGATACTTTCACATCGTCAGGAGCCAGTGGAGTGGACTCAAATAATACTACTATGGAGCAGCAAAGTCAAACCTCAAACGCTGGGCCTCCAAAGCCAAAACCCGCTGTTGCGACACCACAAATTGCATCAGTTGCACCACCAATAATGTCTCTGAAAGGATATGGTAGGAAATTAAGAGACATCTGCCGAAGAGCTTGGGAGAAAAAATAAAACTACGTAAAGAGAAGGGGGTATCCGGATGGAAATAGTTTCTCTTTCTTTGACGACATTTTACGACAACGAATTATTCTATTATCGCAGCTGCTGTTTAAGTATAGTCTAATGAATAGGCTTTGTTTCTCCGAGTGCTTACTAGGCACATTCAATGATAAAATTATTCTTTTCCTCCCTCCTTCGTAGGATCAAGTCGGCTTGTAGCACATACTCTCTTTGCCAAATCGTCGATCGATATACACGTTAATACAACAGAAATAGTGCACTACGTACTAATCTAAATTTAATATATTTCCACATGTAGATAGAGTTAGAAACGAAGCTAAAGCCGGATTAGAGCTCAAAAATACAAAAATCTTCGATGCTTATGAATAAAATAGGCCACACGGTGTATACGACTTCACATTGACCAGCGACAGAGTGTTAAATTGGACGAAAGAGTACGCTAACAGCTCATTACTTTAACACTTGAAGACCATATCCTATTTCAATTCCAAAAAGGATGTAGCAATTTCATCAGCTACCATTTGAGATTGGGCTGCCATCGTCCGTTGATCATACCGATTATAAGTATTCTCACTCCCAAGTTTTCTGACGTTAAAAGGGCTATACTATATGTACACTTACTGGACATGTCGCCACCCAAAGTTCTTTACTTTTTCCACGCAATTTTAGAGCTAGTACGGCCGCCGTGTGTACATGTGGTGTCGGAACTTTCGAACCAATAGATCCAAACAATATTGCATACAGCTCAATCAGCTGAATGGGCGGTGCAGTGGCTATGCACCAAACTATCGACAATTCATTTTCAAAGACATCCTCTTCAATCTTCATTTAAAGAATGTTCACATTTCCACCATTTCGTTTTTCATATTCATGCTTTTCTGGGATCTATAATACGCATTCTGCCGCCAGCAGCATTCTTAAAGCCTACATCTACCTAATTGCTGTAAATTTAAAATTCCGATCACAGCTTTGCAACCATGCGGAGGGCGTTGTTGTAGCGATGGACAACGTTTCATACCATTGCCAAATAATCCCAGAAGCTTGACGAATCAATAGCCACCTGCTCTTCTCAACTATGCACGCCCCTGATAAACATTCGATGTCGAGCAGACAGAGGGAAAAGAGTAGAATCACGGGGCTGCATTCAGAAGGGGTTGGGCTTGATGGAGATGCGGTGCAACATCAAAATCCGCCTAACTCAGCTGTCGAATCTATTGAATATTTAGCTGGCACGAATGATAACGAAACATTGCCCCCGCTACAAGTATTCCCACCACGGCAGCAAGACGCAGACAGAGGTAAATTAACACCCACCAAAAGTTGCTTTTCTCACATGTCTTGCCAAAAGCTTATACGTTTGTAGGACAATCTTCAATTCTTAATATTGAGCAGAGGCGAGGGGAATTATCGCAATGGCCAGCGGACCACACACGGTTTCTTACAGCTCCGGGTGTGCAGAGTGCTTCGGGATATCCATCAGCGACAAATTCATCGAGTCAAAGGGATAACTTGCGGAAAGTAAGAAGACAGAGATCTCAGCTGGACTACAGTTTTCCTGCAGTCGCAGAGGAGGAGTCATCGGAGAGGTCGTTTGATCCTTGGTCCCTTGATTCGATTGACTTGGTACTAGCATCGCAACGAACGCAAAGGTTACAAGAGAGCCGTATTAGGCCGCCGATTTCGATGGGAACCCCCCTTAATGAGGAATACGAGGGTTGGAGTGGCGGTGGTGCTTCTCAGAATTCATCGCAACAGGATGGATATCGCTACGTGGAGAGGATGGAGAAGCGCCTCCGCGGAATACACCAACAGAGCCCGGATATATCAGCTGCGGTGAACCATACCGACGACGACGATGATGATTCCGTATCCCGAAACTCGTCTGCAAATTCAACAGTGGGAGAGTTGGTTTCGATAAATGAAGACACGCAGAGACGGAAATCGCTATCTGATATAACATTAGACTCGGAGGGCGCTGATACAACAAAAACAACCCGAAGTATCATTAGCTCTTCAACCCAGAGTACCAACAGGACCCTTTGGAGTGGCATCTCTGCCGGTGGTTACAGTGCAACAAGCACGTTTAGCATGCGCAGCAATAAAGGACATCAGCTTGGCTCGCCATTTACTACCGTACCTGACCACATTAGCCGTACCAACAGCTACGTTGGAGGTGGCAGCGGAAGTGGGCTTTCTGGGCCGATATCTCAGATTGGTAGTCGTGGATTTGTCCAGGGTCAAAGACTGAGAGGAAACCCCTTCAAGAGAATGCCCGACTCTCGTAGAGTACAAAATGACTATAATTATGCACGACCAAGTCAGAATACCGAAAAGAAAGCGGCGACCGGGCAGCTACTGGATATCACTAACAAAGGAAATATGACACGAATCCCTTCCGTCCGGGAAACGGAAGACACAGAAAGATTATACCCCAGTGATTATCGAAGCATACTAGGCACGGAAATAACGCAGTTGTATATCTTGCATTTTACAAAACATCTCTACAACCGACTGGAACAGCAACCATTTACAGAGGACAGCCTAGATGCCATAACGCGGTTGCTTCCAGAGCTACTAGTGGCATTCGCTCTGAAACTTGGCCAGACGTCACAATTACAAATCAAACGAGACGCAATGTATTTTATCTATACACATCGAAAGTAGGTCACGCTGAATGCCTCTATCCAAGTCGCTCCTTTCAGGTACACTAACGCAATCTTCCAGGCCGGTAATTCGATCAATAAGAGATCTTTTTAATTCCAACGATTCATCGCTCGAAAAGCTTTTGGTCGGCAATTTAGCTACCGAAGACGAAGATGAATTCTTAGCAGCAGACCTTGTCCGATATCTTGACACAGTCACAAAAGATCCGGCTTTTGAATGGCTTGTCGGAAAACTTGGCACTGAGTTGGATTTAACTGGAGTAGACTCTTCCGCTATGAAACTAATATCCAGTCACATTAAAGATCGTCTACCACCAATTCGAAATATTAGCAGGCATTCTCCGTCAAAGCCATACAGGGTTACGTTTCAGGTTGAGTGCGATATTCTTGGGTTTATACAGGAACAAGCATACGAAGGCAGTGCTGCTGAGGTACTGCCAAAAGTGATAACTCTAACTGGGTTTGTTCAAGACGTTCAAGCAACAACCTGCGAGCAGTATCTCATCCAGACGTGGCCAGTGGTAGGATGCAATCTGCTGCGGACTATCCAAGGCGCACTACGGGAGGGAAATGCCTCTGAGCCGTTTCGATCTTCGTGCAAATGTAGGTACTTCCGTTATGCTAAACGAACGGCGATTTCAGGCCAATTTTTAATAGAACATTAGGCAAGTTCGAGGATCGCACAGAGATCAAAGTCTCTGTAGGTCGATATATGGAAGTCGAGGCAGTGGGAACAATCCACTCTATCGCAGAAATCGGCGAGCAGATCGGATGGTTAGCAACGACATTCAGATCACAGTTGCAAGATTCACAGATCTTGTTTTGTCATCCCGAAATTACCGACTTCCGTGCTACTGATAGCGCACAGTCGCAGTCAATGGAAAACGAGATTGAGCAATCTTTCGTCTGTCGAATAAGTGTTGCCACAGACCAGATGAGGGCTAATTTGCCTGGTTTCAACGGCCAATGTTGGCAACAAATGTTCAACAACCCAGTAGTCGTCACGGGCTATCCAATAAAGCCTAGAAAAGATATCGACACAGGTGTTGGTCTAGAATTACCTTTTGACATGATGACAACCTTGGCAGACGCCCGATATTTAACAACATTCGAAGACAGGACTTTGGTGAAAGGATTTTCGACAGTGTTGATCCCAACCGCGATATACGGGAGTATCATCTTGTGGCATTTACTTGCAAACGAGTCTGGTGCTCGAATCTCATATCAAGATCCCCGCATAGAGCAGGCAATATTGATTGAACATGACAATTTTAATGGCGCGCGTCACATCTTGGGATGGTGCATGAACGCTCAAAATAACATAGGTAGGATAAAGATCATTCCAAGTGTATGAGAGACTAACTTCTAACATGTGGTATAATTTCAGGGTCGCTAAACGCAAGTTACGATATTACGTGGTCCGGCCTCTCCCATGGTCGAGCGGCCCTTACCTGCGAAGGAGTCGAGCTCAGCGTGGGCGCTGGCAATTACTTCAAGGTTGGAACAAACTTCAAGAGAGGTAAACGGGACAGATCAATCTGCAGTTTTGTCTCAGATGGTTATGTATCCGTAGTTGAACATATTGGTCAACACCATGTCGTGTTGTACGACGTTGATGAGAAACGCGCGTGCCTTTCTGATGGTCTGCCCGTGCTTCTTCATCTCGTCCGCACCTCTCTGAGAAGAGATGAGAAAGAGGATCCGGAATGCCTCTATATGAATCACATCGAAAGGTTGAATGAGCCGCCTTCGTCAGTTCAAGGTACTATTGCAGCAAAGGCAGTCTTATTCGACAGCGAGAACCGTCTATCCGCTTTGCGCTTGATTGACACCAAGGTTACTGAACAAATGATTGAGAGAATCATGGATGATAAAACTGTCAATGAGACTGTTAGGATAAAAGAGGAAACATATTACCGCTTCGAAAACAGGGTAGAGGAAATATGCCTTCTCCTTGAGAAGACCATTGACCAAACCACCAAGGCGATTAAAGAGGGCATTTTAAGAAACACACCGAAGAACATGCTAAACGGATTCGACTTTATGGGAGTAGCTACTCGTTCGAAACTCCGACATATAACAACTAAGATACCAATATCGGCCTACAGTTGTGGGTGGACGGATCTCGTGGATTCCATTGAAGCAATTACGCTTTTCGGCAACAACTTTGGAGAGCTTATCAGACCAAGAGGTGACGATCCCCCAAACCGATGCGATGGATGCGGGTACGAAGCCAGCCTACCCTCCGGGGAAAATCGCTTAGCAGTGTGTGTTGATATTTTGGAGAACATCATCGAAATGAATGGCAATAAAGATAAGACGGGCTGGAGACTGACAGACGACATCTACTGGCATTTAAACGAACCAGCTTTCAGACTCTGTTGCACCAACCTCAACGGACGGCGCGCCAATACACACACTAGTAGTGACCGGATTCAAATACTCTCTTCTAAGGATATCCGCCACTATCCTGAGTATCTCATTCCAACGAATGCTGTGGCAAACGGTGCGGTCATGTTCGGCCATGGAAGGCCACGGCTCGTCCCCATGAGCCGCAATATCAAGGCGCATCAGAAGGATTCACCATCAGGCAAACTACCTCAATCGACAACAGCTTTTAGAACCTCTGTATCATCTGTGGTTCAAGATGAGAGTTCTGAGTCAAGTGACAACCAGCTGTTTGATAGCGTGAGCTCTACTAACCCCTATTCCGCTTCGTCAAAAACAAACGGATCGGGCTTAAACAGTAATCGCAATCTGTCTGACACCATGAGCCCTATCACTCCTGATACATCCACTTCATTAGCAAGCGACGAACTAGTCTTGGGCAACACCGCTGCTGACCAGCAGAGCCCTGTCCTGGGCGTCGCACCTAAACCTCCAGAGATTATCGCAGAGATTATTGCTATCTCACGGATTCCATCAAATACACCACCGACACCCTCCCCTCAGAAGCCTTTCAGAAAGATAAAAGGCATTTGCTCTAGGGCTTGGACGAAACTAAATCCTCGGAAGAATGGCCGAGCAGAAAGTTAGCAATTAGTGATGAAGTTGAGATAGTGTTCCAGCCTTAACTCACGGTCCCTTTTGCATATTTTCATGTCCCGGAGATCAGTCACCAAAAGGCTGAGAAATAAAGGACAATACAACTGGTTTGTGGCTTGGGTAACGAGCATAGGTGACAATCCTGTTGCACAATTACATAGGGGCATTGCTTCTTACTTGTCTGGATACCTCCAGTGGTCAGCTTCCCGTCACCACTGGCCCTGCTGAGACCGAGACTATCTCGTCTACTCTAGTCCTCCAGCTGAGGCCTCTGGCCGTTCTTCCCCTGCCACCACTAGCGCTCCTTAGTATGGAATCTCTACCATCTTCACCATCGCAGTCCGGGCTATCACTCAGTGCCCTCCTGAGGTTACCAACTACCCCACTCGTCCTAAGACCGTGATCCGCAGATGCATGTCATGTATTCAAGAATTTCCTATTGTACGACCTGGAGAAGGCGCTGTTTACCGCTATCTCAGCGTTATAAGACGCCTCTACTTCGGTATCAACGACGATAGGCTCTCGGTTTTCGGGCATCAGCCAGCCACGACAAAATCCCGAGGCCTCTCAAATCCATCGTGGAGCTGTCACGTATTTGACGCTTCGGCAACTCTTTGGCCTAATATTGTAGCCAAACTTGAGGCGATTATATATGAGCCAAAGCCTCTGGTATACGGTGGCTTCCAAAAACCAAGCGTCGTTCTGTGGCCGGTGGGTAGTAAGGCTCAAGAGGAAAAGATTTAAGAGGTGAAGATTTATTTTCCTTTAGAGTCTCACAAGAAGCACCAGCGCTCGGAAGGCCAACTAGTAACGTCTAAAAATAAGAGGCAAAATGTTTTGATCAAACCTCGGGCTTCAAGCGAATTCTTCGAGCAGTCTCAGTGTAAGCGGGACCGTCCCGTCCAGCCACTAACGCTCTTTCTTTGGCAAATCTTCAACGCGGTGACTGTCGTAAGACATATTAACCTATATAAATCTTTCTCACCATATAGTGGTAGAATTATGATATCACCAGTACGTTGCAAGGAGGAGACTTAACGGGCAAGGGCATCGAACGGGACCGACGAGTTCGACATGTACGAGGTTGTCATTTTATATGCTGTCACAACAGCTATGGGCACGATTCCCGTCTCGTTGTTAACAGTCACCATGGCAGCTGGCACCAAGGAGGTGCTAGAAAGACATGTCATTGTTCGTAATCTATCTAGCCTGGAGGCTTTGGATGAAGTGACAGGTAAGCGTCATGTTTTGACTCTCAGATTTTGCCGCAGACACACCATTAGTTTTTAATAGGCATCTGCTCTCGCAAGAACGGAACAATTACTTAGGGTCGAATAATTGCATGCACAACATGGCATCCGGGGCATGGTACCTATTCTGTCGAAATGACAAATGAAGTGACCGACCCAACCGTCGGCTAAGTATCATTCAGTACCATGCAACCGAGAAGCGTAACCGAAATCGAAAAAGCAGTCATCAGAAGAACAGATTTATCATCTTGAAGAGGTAGCCAAGAAGTTCTTTAGATCAAGCCTCTGAACAGCGTCAGCTTAGACAACATGGAAGCTTTAGCAACTCAAGCCCTTTGTGTCCTCGCAGTCGCTCATAACCTTAATAGCCGATCAGTCTCGGCGTCCGATTTTACAGAAGAAGTCTCCCGCCCTCGCGAACGCTTCGAGTCCAGTCTTGCCTTCTACAGCCTTCACAGGAATATACGATCTCCCCGTCCTGAGTCCAAACACATCGTCCTCCCATGACTGCTGACGGTGTCAATGACAGTCCTTGAGCGTGCGGACATTGGCATCGCTATAGGTCAAGCTCAGAGGTCACCAAATAATCATCTAACATCGTCCTAGCCGGCGACAACTTCATTTTGGTCCTAATTGCCATTGAAGAAGGCCGCCGGATATTCGAAAACATCCGGAACTTCGTCCTTCATGTCCTAGCAGCCAACCTCGGTTTCATCTCCCCTCTCACACGCCTGGCTTTCGACATACAACACAAACGTCTCCGTGTTTCTATTAATCCCGTCAAATTCATCTCGGCACCGGTGCCTTTAGCGAGAAGGGTCTTGCATTTGAAACTGCCGTCCCAGACATTCTCAACCGCCCTCCCCAAAAACATAACGTTCACCCCCTGCCTTGCCACAGATCAACACCGTAACTGAAACCCCGGATACCAACCGTTTGCCACACAGCTCCGCTATGGCATCTTCACTCCCGAGTTTATGCTCGTCTTCGGCATCCTCGTGGCCGGTTGCGTGCTTGGCTCTTTCACCCCGCCATCTTCGGCTTTGGCGACGGCAATTGGGCCTCAGACGGCAACAACGCCTGTTCGCCCTCATGCCACGACGCCTTCTATGCCCACGGCCTACACCGCAATGACGTGGATCTCCCTGCTCTTCTCGCGGGAACTGAAAGACTTCCGCTGACCCTCTTTCGATATGCACAAGGGGGTCGGCCCGTGGGGGGATCATCTGTGGGGAAATTGGTTTCTATTCTTTGCCATCACGGCTGTCTTCTTCATGGTATTCCCGACGCTGTACGTCCCGCGGCTGAACACAATCGTCTTCATGCATACGGGGATTGGCTAGGAGTGGGGATTTGTGTTTGTTGCTGTCATGTCATTGCGTTTGTTGTCGGAGCCGAAGCCTAGAAGTGGGCAAAGAGATTCTATTTGCGGAAGTCACAGGGATCAGCTTCGACAAATGGAGACGCAGTTATGTGAGGGTTGGTTCTTATTCATTTGTTTAAGAGCATTTTTGCGACAAAGTGCAACGTTGTATTGCCCAGTAAATTTGTTCCCTTTGTCCTATGCGGCGGATAAGCTACACATAATATGTAGAAGTTGTGAACCATCATTGGACGTGTGTATCAGGAATCTTCTTGGCACAATGGCGAGACTCTTTTCCCTGTTTCCGGCTGCTGTACACGTTGTGCCAGTCAAGAAAGGCATTGGCCAGATCCCAGGAGCGGCCATCTTTCCAGAGTCTTTCGTAAAAACCCCATCGATAGTCCCCAGAGCTGCATCTCGACCTAGATCTGACTACATGGGTCGGATCCTTTCTGCCGTTAAGGATTCGCGGTGACTCGTATTGTGCATCCGGTACCCTAGAGGAAGCAGATAAGAAAATAAGCTCTGATCTTAGGCCGTGGCATGATCATCCAGCAGAATGCCTGAACAAGCACAGTGGACCCATTCAGAGCTCTCTTTCAACACAATGGAGTAAAGCCCTTCGTTATACTAATGCGACTCCGTACACTTGTCAGTATTGGGAGGGGAGATGAATCACGCGTCTTGAAGCTGTCAGGTCTCACTCCTAGGGGACGAAACATTTGCGAGAATGTGCATGGAACAGGCAAGGTATAGGGTCGGCGTTAAGGCGGCATGAAGCATCGCATCTCATCCATGCCTCGCCAAAAAGGAACTTGGCCAAGCGTTCAACAGACAGCACTTGGCTGGGAGGATTGCCACGGCGTGAGAGTCGGTCGTAAGGTGATATCGGAATGCTACAGTGACGGCGCCTCACGAAACACTCTTGACGTCCTCTGATTGAATACTCGTACGCCACAGCAGACAGACGAGATGACTTCGCTGGCACAGAGACCAGCTCATCGGCTACTCGGCTGCCCGCCAAGACATGCAATGGAGTCATGCACTCATCTTTGGCGTCGCTATCTCTTCAGGGTCGCATTGTCACATGGCGGGTATCTAGCCGCAGAGCTTCATGTGATGGGGTGCTGGATATGTGCGAAGTATGTACGCGCATGCCTGTACATCAGCTAATCGCATGGAATCAGCCGCCGCTACTTTCTCACTGTCTGCTTTTCAAAAGGGAAAAAGGATAGAGTGGGAAACATCCTCACGGATCTCACATGTTGGGCTGCGAATCGATTCTAACCCTTCCTCTCAGTTTCAACCTTGGCGGTATATTCACCGCAACTCGATCATGCTCATCACAACTGAGCATTGGTCCGCTTTCTGCATGTTGTGTCTGTTGGATTCGAGTCATGACCTCGACATGGATGCCGCATAGCTGTACCAACTTGTTTCGATCCTAGCGGATTGAGCTGAGGTGAACATTCAGCTGGGCGGCATATATACTTGTATATTCCTTGAATCCCTGCTCAATAGTCTCCCATCAAGAGTTTGACAACAAACGCACAGAATGACAACAATCATTCCCCGACAGTGCACAGTGCATGCCAAACAGGTACAGTGGCCGCATCTCTCCCTCAAGGACGAGTGAAGTAGAATAAAACGGTCCGCCCTTTTTGAGGTTATCCGTCCGTCAAAAGAAAGGCTCGTCTTATACCCTTTTAGGCAGCCGGTGCCGACCGTTTTCTCCAGCCCTGGGCGGCCAGTTATGCCTTGGAATGGGTGCTCTGTACGAGTACAAGTACGAGTAGTCTCCCCACTTGGTGGCAGATGAAGGCTTTAGACTCGCCTCAGCTAGCTGGATCTGTCAAAGTACATGTGCGGACACACGGCCGCCGCACGATACGGGTTATGGCTTCCTTTTTCTCAAGCAGAGCTAGGCCAACTTTCAGTGTGGCTCTGCCCACGGGACCGAGAGGGCGGAGCTTTGCTGATGCCTTCCTATTGATAGACGGAGAAGACGCTCTCCCACAGGGCCAATGCTCCCGGCTATGTATGATGAATGCCGCGGAGTGCTTGGCAGAGAGATCCTCTGGAGCCCAAACCGTTGGATGTCGGTACTTGTGAGCGAAACCGGACGCTCTCGGCCGGGCCGTAGACATGACGAGGAAAAAAAGGGAACATCTTGGCAGTCCATGATCTCCTTCAAGGACCAGGCGGGGCCCGTAATTTTGAGCGGAGTTTTCTTTGGCAACTCTGAAGGAAGATGTATCCACATCTTAACAAGGTCGCGAGAACAAGCACAAGGGTGAGAGGGTGTGGATTAAACAAATCACAAACGAACAGCAGGGGGTAAAGTACAAGGAGGGGGTCGATGATGATCATGGAGAACAGCCAGGGTCTTCTTTCAACGGCGGGTCTGGCCTTTCCCTGAAAGAGGCCTTGTCCTATAAACGAACGCGTGTCTTTGGCCATTCGGGTCCCGCCTCGGGGCTCCATGGATCCCCAATTCTGGCCACTTGATTTCCTCCCAATGGCTTGGTTGTGATCGCCCGGGCATGGGTTTTTAGCGGAGAGCGCTGGGGCAAAAGTCCCCTCGTTGCGGAATAGTCCCTTTTACCCGTCCCAAACAATCACAATGGCCCTCTCGTTCCTCCGGAGCATGTCCTTGCAGCACTAGGAAATGGCTGCCCCCTGCATGGCGGCAGGTAGAGGAGGATGAGCGGCAGCGTGCCAATTTCACAGGTACAGGCATGTTCTGATGTCTCTGGTACAAAGATGAAGGCGATGAGGTTTTGATAGGATGTCGGCCGGGGGTTGCTTGGGGCCAGACTTGAGGCTTTGAGGGCAGGGGTTGACGACGACGGGGACCGGGGAAACTGTGCCGAACAGGGGTAAAGCAAGACAGGCCAGGGTTAGCCAGGGCGTAGCTTGACGTCGGTGTAGGGGTGCGGGTCTTTTCCATATTCTTTGCTGGCTTCATGTCTGAAGGGTCTTGCTCCGTAATATCTGTAGCTTTGACATGGGAGCTGTTGAGAACAAACTCCCCGGTTCATTCACTGCCTGACCGCGGAGTTGCGTTTGTTAAATGCAGAGCCAGGGGAGGCGTGTCATTGTGGCGAGGCTTTGAGCCATGATGATGCTCAGACATCTGCTTTTCACGTCGAGCGAGGGTCGGAGAAGCACAACGAATGGACATTTGTTTCGATTACGGCCGAGCGCTTGGGCCTGTCTGCCGTCACGGTTCTCAATGCCGAATCCCGAAGTTGGCATACTGTGCTGTGCTCGCACAATCCAATGCAACACAAGCAGCTTAATGCTTGGCAGGACTGATGCCTCTGGCCCCCCATGTCGGCCCGACGAACTGGAAAACGGTTGAGCATCCTGAGCGATTGGCTTATGGAGGGTGCTGCATTGCATCGTAAAGCGTATGAGCAAGGTAAATACGCACGATACAACGGTACAATAGAGCGCACTGTCGTTGACTGGAGAGCACTGGCGAGAGGCGAGAGACGAGAGACGAGATGCGAGATGATATCTTGCCGCCTGGATTGTTGGAGATGACGGCATTTGAAGTCGGTTATCCCAACATTGGCTCATTACTAATCGCTGCAGTACAGACGTGATAAGCTATTCCGGCCTCAGGCATCCGCTATCGATAGACGACCTAGATACTTACCTTAGTCACCTCTCACGTATTTCTCGTACAGTACAGAAACTTGCTGATGCCTTCATCCGTCGGTCATGGCATGGCATGGCATACCAGGAGCGTTCCGACGGCGACAGGGCACAGACGCATCTTGCGTGCAGACTGCCACCGTTTCGCGTCTCGCCGTTTCCAGACTCCATTTGCCGTTCCCGGCCGGGCGGTTCAGGCGCACGCCCTCTCGCATCGACAGAGCAGACAACCCGTGCTAAGGCAGATTTAGGTACATGCTCCGCAGGGCTATTTCGTAGCGCGGCTCCAAGTACCGCCCCGACCGGCGAAGCGACTCGGGAGCCGCCGGCAACCACCGTTTGCTCCCATGAACTGCTCCTTCGCTCGGGCAAAGACTCGCGACTGGACTGGGCTATTTTGTGCGAAGGGGGTTGCTAGCGGCAGCAAACTAGTGTTACAGAGTGCCAGTTTTGATTGCTGTCTTGGTGGTTGAGATCGATCCTTGCTCCGCCCTGCTGATGTCTCGATTACTTATACACCCGAGCCGAGGAGTCGTTCGTTTCCACAAATGAATCAGAGAAGGCGTACGGAGTTCGTGCTATACATCTTCTTTTACGACCAAGGCGAACCAATGGGCTTTGCTTGGCATAGTGGCCAAGTGATTCTGTTCATATTGCTCAAGGGGGTAAGGAAGGAGGAGGCAGCAGAGGATATACATCCGCCGCATCGCTTGGAAAGAACCAGAGCAGAGCTCAACCGGCGGGCTGGAATACACAGATGTCGGAGTTCGTACCCGACGGAGTTGATGATCCTCGACTACAGAGTCCCAGGGGCAGACAAATTTCAAACTCCGGGTCTCTGGGCACTTCGCCGATTATCCACAATTTGCGGCTCACGATTTTGAGTCAAAAGTCAAACCGTGTAAGCGTTAGTCTCAAAGAAAAACTAGTTGAGCCCCAGAAGATGTGCTAACACCTCAAGATGAAGCCCGAGCACAAGAAATACTAATTGCAGCTGGGAAAAAATGGAGAAGAATGCCACGAGGATTCACGCGCGGCCCGCCGAGCGAGCACCGTCAGCACCGGGGCAAATCACCGTTTCTCCATCTTTGGCGTGCCAACTTGTCCTTGCTTTGGGAAAGGGGGCGTGTGATAATTCCGCTGTCTTGCGCGCTT